GTAATCCTTACCGGGATTACAGAAGGATAACAAATTCAGTCAGACCAGCCTCAGCAATTTAGTGAGGCCTAAGCAACTTAGGAAGACCCTGTCTCAAAAACAAAAGGGGCTGGGGATGTGGCAGCACCCCCTGGGTTCAATCCCTAGTACCATGGGTAGGTAGGTAATATAACTCAGTGGAAAAGTACCCCTGGGTTTATCCCCAGTACTGCCACAAAACAAAAACAAAACGACATCTTCACCCCAACTCCTTAAATTTCCTTCCAATTCTCTCTCCCACTTCTTCCTATGTTCATCCTTAGGTAACCTTTAATATGTTTTCTGTCATTGTGTATTATTTTGCAGTTTTCTAGAATTCTTTAAAAAAAAAAAAAATATATATATATATATATTTTGTTGTAGTGGATACAATACCTTTATTTATTTATTTTTATGTGGTTCTGTGTATCAAACTCAGGGCCTCGCACCTGCTAGGCAAGCACTCCACTGCTGAGCCGCAACCTCAGTCCTAGAATCTTATGTTAGAATCACATAGTTTTACTTCTGCTTTTTTGGAGGAGGATGCTGTAGCTTCTTTCACTCAGTATAACTATTTTGAGAATTCATACATGTTGTGCCTATCATGGTAGTAGATCATTCATTGATGGACACTTATATTGTTTCCAATTTTTACCTAATACAAATAGAGCTCTTATGCACATTAATGTACAAATCTTTGTATAGATATATGCTTTTCCTAGTTTCTATAGAACTCTTTCTTTAAAATGGGCTAGGGCTATAGCTCAGTGATAAATTGCCCCTGGGTTAAATCTCCAGTAACTCCTCCCCCAAGAGACTTTTATTCTCTTAAAATCAACAAGCAAATTGTTTATGTATTTCCTAACTACTTATAAATTGTTTGTGGTCTTCTGGTGGCCAGTCTTAAATGATACTGTGTTAAAATCACACCAGATTATAAATTAAAATTTAAAAACCATGCTTTCAAAATTGTTTTCTGTTGTATAGACATATTGTATTCCTCATATACAAGAGCTTAGGGACTTTAGTTAAAATGGAAAATAGGTGTGTGTTCATGTTGAACAAAAGCAGAAACTAGGAAATGGATAATATTAATATCAAATATCTGCAAATCTGTAGTAATTTCGTGGGTGACAATTGCTTTTATTTTTAAAAATGCTATCAAATAAAAATAGTTAAGAGAACCATTTTTATTTTTAAAAAGATATAGTCCCATTGCATCACTTACATTTTGTGTGAACTTAACACATAATCATCTTTAAGCCTTGTCTATCCAGTTTTGCGTCTTTGAGCACTCTCGGGAAGTTATTCGTAGCATTACCCCATTTCTCAGGTTGCATGATTAACACAGTATGTTTTTCTTTTATCAGCCTTTAATCAGTTTCTATCCTCTTTAGTTTCATGTTTTATAGGAAGGAACTAGCTGTGTATTTATTAGGGAAATTTTCAGTACTGTTACAAATCAAAAAGAAACATTCTTTGAACTGTCCTTTTAGGGATGAGAGAGGGAACTAACATTTATCATCCTGTTGCTCTGTGCTGGCACTGCTGTGGGTGCTTTCCGTACATTCTTTTTTCATGGTCTACCACTGTAGATATTATAAAGACCAGTTTCCTTAGCATGTCCTTAGCAATATAGCTCTACCTACTTCTCCAGCTTTTTCCATCAATATCAGCTTTGCATCCTGTGCTTCTGCTAGTCTCAGCTTCTTTTTTTTTTTTTAGTCTCAGCTTCTTTAAGATCTTCGAATGTGTCTAGTTTTCTCTCTCCTCCAAACTTTTTCACGTGCTGTTCTTCCCTGACCACTGCTCTCTCTTCCCCAGGCTTGTGTGTCTTAAAACTAATTTCTTTATAACCTGAAGGCCTTGGTTTAGGTCTTAGTTCCTTGAACCCCTGTTCTAAACTCCTCTGAGAATAGGGACTGTGTCTTCTTGCTCAACATTTTATCTTATGAACTTGTGTTTAGACATGTTTGTTGAATGAATGAACAAGCAAACAACTTTTGCAAATGGACAATTTTATCCCCAACTCACATAACTAATTAAGTAGTAGACCCAAAAGTTCAAATGGAAGACTGACACAGAAGCCATTTTTCCTTCTACACTAAGCCACTCTGTAGCTGTAAGTCATTAAACATTCTGAGGAAGGCTAACAGGCAAATTTGGTAATTGATGAAACAACATACCTAATTACATAATTGACATAATATAGAAATATAACAAAACCAATTTTCTATAAACCTAATCATTAAAATACTGGCTTTTCCATCTTTTAAGAAGTGGTTTATTCTGATTTTAGACTTACACAAACCAAAATAAAAATACAGTAAAAGCAGACTATAAATTCAGAGTAGATTGCGGGATCCTGAGATGGGTTACCCTGAAAATATTTTGTTCTGGAAGTCAGAGTCACCTGTCTATCTGGCTATACCACTTTTTTTTTTTTTTTTAAGTTATATATAGTAGCTGGGTTCATTTTGGCAAAATTATATATGCATGGAATTGACTTAAATCCCTGCTTCCCCCACTTTTCCCTCTCTTCCTTCCTCCCCGTATTCTGCTTTCTCTACTGAACTTTCTGTCCCACTGGCCATAACAATATTTATTTATTTAAATATTGGACACAATACCTTTATTTTATTTACTTTTATGTGGTGTTCAGGATTGAACCCAGGGTCTCACACATGCTAGGCAAGCGCTTTACTGCGGAGCCCTAGCCCCACAACTTGTTTTTTTTCTTTAATTTAAAAAAAATTTTTAGTTATAGATCGACACAATACCTTCATTTTATTGATTTATGTGGTGCTGAGGACCCAACCCAGTACACCACTCATGCAAAGCAAGCAGTCTACCACAGAGCCACAACCCCAACCTTTTAAATTAATTAATTTATTTATTTACTTTTGCATGCTTACAAAGATAAGTATCTTTGTGTCTCAAGGTACAGCTAAAATGTTAGAATATTTTCTGGAAATTATGCAAAATGCTTTCCTTAAAGGGTTACAGATTCTGTTGCTTCTCTTTTTCCTTCCTTCCTTCCTTCCTTCCTTCCTTCCTTCCTTTTTTTCCTTTAATCAATCCCTTTTGTATTATATATCTTTTTCTCTAAGGAGAACCTCCTTGTTTTATCCCCTTGAGATCTGTTCATTATTTATCTCTCCAGCCTCATACTTTTCCACCATGCCTCATCTGTCTTTGCTCCACTTATATAGAAGTACTTAAAACTCTGGACTAAGTTTGGTCTCCTCCTGTGGGACCCTTTGCTTATCCCATTTCTAGCATAATGTATTCTTTTGCAACAGTATGTAAGCTGTGTGTCTCCTGTACCAAATTGTAGGCTTCTTTAGAGATTTAACTGTTTGAGAGACATAGAATATCTCTCAGAATCCCCAGGACTTAATTCCAAGCACATATATGGTTATATACTACATTTTAAAGAAACAAGATCATCAGTCAGGCTTGGGCTTCAAATCTCCTTCAATATAAAGTAATAAAGAAGTGATAGGACAGAGTAAGAAGCAAGAATGTAGTCATTATTTAATTTTCTTGATCTGGGCTTAAAGAATTTGACTTCTGGATTAGATTAGTCTTTAGTAGTTCAAATAATTCCTGTTGCAAGGTGTTACTAGTTTTCCAGTCCCAGTAGTTATCTCGTAGGCTTTTTGAACCAAAGCAGGACATGAACCTACAGTTTCGTCTAAATTAGAGGAGAGTATTCTGCAGAAGTAACCACAATATTTCCCCCCATACACACCTTGGTATTGAACCCAGGGCTTCACGCAAGCTAGGCAAGTACTCTGCCACCCAGTTACATTCCCAGCCCATTTTATTTTATTTTATGATAGAGTCTCACATTGCCCAGGCTGTCCTTGAGCTTGCAATTCTCCTGTGTTTGCCTCCCAAATAGCTTGGATTATAAGTATGCATCACTGTGCCTGACTAACACATAATTTTTAATTTTAAAAAATTGATGCTAAATGTGGCTCAGTGGTAGGCCACTTGCCTAGCATATGTGAGGTTCTGGGTTTGATCCAGCACCACAAAAACAAGCAAACAAAAATATAGTAAAAAATTAAAAATGTGAATAAAATCATTCAGTGCACAGATCACAAATCATAGCCCCCCCCCCATCATTTTGAAGGCCTTGTTCCATACATCAGACCAAATGCCCATTTAACTTGTATGCCTTGTAAGCTTAGAGTCTAGAATGATTAGAGTCTAGACTTCTCTTTCTGTTGGCTTTTGTTTCCTTATGTTCAGTTGAACTTTGTGGTTTTTTTTTTTAACATTTCTAATTTAGGACTTAGCCAGGCTAAATACAGAAATCAGTGAATTTTTCACAATTCTTCTCTGAGAATTAAGGAAAGAAGTCCAAATCGGTAGATCCCCCCACCGCCGTTATGTTTGGAAAGCGTACCTATGCCATACGCAACTAGCTGTCTTTTCCACTAAAGCCATGAATGCTTCTAGGCCAAGGACTGCTTCTTACTCCATTTCAGTTCCCTATCACCTAGCTCACTGGCATACAGGTTTTTAACAAGAATCAGTTTTCATCTTCCTATCCTATTAGTCAAATAAAGACTAACAAAGTAATTGTAAACATCAATGTGGCAACTTATCACAAGATTTAAGTAAGAGATTGAGGAAGATATATATAAGCATTTCAATATTATTTGAACATAAGTAGGTCACCTAGAAGAATTTGAATATTAAGCTCAAACAGAGAAGTACTGAAGTAAAAAGGTTCTTAAAGTTTATTTTTTTGTTGTTTTTAAACAACTTAAACCTGCAGAGTTAGGTTGTTTTATTCTTGGAAGTTTTGGCTCACACATCTTTGAGATTCTTGAGAAACTTTACCTATTAATCTAACTTAACAATGCGAATGTTTTGCTGGTGTCAAGAGTGTGTGATCATTGAGCAAGAACTGAAAAGTTTCTATTCTAGGCAGGATCGAGAACTTCTTTTTTTCTAATTCCACACAGACACGTCTTCGGCCTCTGAGGATGAGGGCTCTCTGAGACGCCAAGCTGCGCTCTCTGCTGCCTTGCAACAGAGCTTACAGAATGCTGAGTCCTGGATCAACCGTTCAATTCAGGGATCGTCCACTTCTTCATCCGCATCTTCTACGCTGTCCCATGGAGAGGTCAAAGGAACCAGTGGGTCTCTAGCTGATGTATTTGCCAATACCCGAATAGGTAGGAGCTGAATCTACCTAAGGAGTCCAAATTATGTTTCATTTGGCAACCAGTATTCAGGAAACAATTTATGATTTGTGTTAGGTTTTTCAACGTGGCCTAAAAAACCAGATAATCAGAGAGAACGTGACAGTTAATGAGGCAAAGAAGGAAACACCAGCAATACATTTGTTGCAGGAATGATAGGTATCATCTGCATTATTGGAGCATAGTGTTGCCCACCTGAAGCCATATCTATTTCCATAAGCAATACTCAAGCTGCAAGATATAACACCAGTCTTAGTATTGGTTTGTCCCACTTGAAGAATATTTCATATATTAAAGAGTGTTAAAACATGTAGCATCTTAGAATTCTTCAGGATTGTTGTCTATATTCTATCAAATAAAAATCATTAAACCTGAGCAAATTCTACATTAAACCAATATCAATGAAGCCCTTTTGTCTTTAGTGTAAAGACTGGATTTATTGTCCTTGCTGCTGTGATATTGCTACACCTGGAATGTGCCAGCTGAGGATGTTGGTAGTCTATGAGCTGCTACCTGCTGCTGATGCTACTGTGTGGAGTACAGCTTTTGCTTGGCTCTGCTTTATGTTTTGTTTGTTTTTTTTAAAGAGTTGTGTCATCTGCAAATAAAGATGCATATCTCTGCTTTTGCTAAATTGGTTGGTACAAATCAATCTAAATAATGTACGTGAACATTATATATCTGTGATGTCTTTCCCTTCTTTCTTGACAGTCAGTTGCATTTTGGTATCTTTAATTTTCCTCTCAGTGATCTTTCTATATCCTTTATATATCTTCATTCTATTAATTGATTTCAGAAAATAAAAAATTGGAAAATTTTCATGGTTATAATTTTTTAAAGATCATAATTACCCTGAGGATATGATTGCCCACATTAATAGCCTTATGCCAGCTGCCATTGACTTTTGTTCTGCATTCTTAACTCTGCCCAGTGTGGAGTTCACTGAGCTTTCTAGAGCAGCCACACACAGGTGTACATGTTTACCATCTCTTCTGTCATTCAGGGTAAGCAACAGAGCCATGGTAGGTGAGCTTTTATTTCCATATCTGTCAAAAAGAGCACTTTCACTTATAAAAAGAATTGTCCTATATCCAGTTAATATTATGTGTATTTTTGTTAACAAGATGATTTCATATTTTATAACATATCTGATCTCATATTTTTCTGTTGCTTCATGACTCTGTGAAAAGTTATTGGCTTAGTTATTCACAGAAACCATATTATGCAATGTTATTGCTTTTTGGATGTTCGTTCTCATAGTAGTCCATTTTCCTGATAGGGAAATTAAAAAACAGGTAAAATAAAAATAAAATAATCTATAGTCCCACTTCCTATGGATAACATTTAAATGCTACAACTTTAGTATGTATTCCAGATATTATTTGTTTATGAATATGTGGGGTTTTTGTTTTAATTTTACAAAAATGAAATTGTCTTAAATGTAATTTTCATTTCCTGCTTTTCTTGGCAGTGTATTGTGAACATCTTCTGTATCATTATAAGTATGCTGTTATTTTCATGATTTTAAATACAATCAATTGAATGACTGTGCCCTGATTTATTTAATCATTCCCCTCTTTTGGACATTTAAGTAATATTGTTTTTTGCCATTTTGCAGATTGCCAAAAGTATTGTGCATTTGTCTGTTTATTTCTTTAGGATATTTTCTATAAGTTGATTGCTGAGTCAAATAAAAATATACATTTTTAATGCTTATGTTTCTACATTATCCTACAGAAAGGTATACTGCAATGTACCTGTGCTTATATATTTCAAACTTTTTTGTCCCTCAGTACTGGGGATTGAACCTAGGTTTGCTCTCCATTGAATTATATCCCTAGCCCCTCCCTCCTTCCCTCCCTTCCTCCCTCCCTCCCTCCCTCCCTTCCTTCCTTCCATATTTTTTTAGTGGTAGATGGACACAATATCTTTATTTATTTATTTTTTAATGTGGTGCTGAAGATCAAACCCAAGGCCTCACACATGTGAGGCAAGAGCTCTACCACTGAGCCACAACCCAGCTCATCTTTTAAAATTTTATTTTGAGACAGGGTCTCTCTAAATTGAATGTGATGACCTCAAACTTGTGATCCTCCTACCTCAGGCTCCATAGTATCTGAGATTACAGTTGTACACCACCGGGTCCAGCTTATTTCAAATATTCAAAACTTTTAAAATAGTAATTAGAGACATTTTGTGTATAGAATCCTTATCCCCAATTGATTTTAGAAATTGTTTATATTATGCTTTTTTCTTTTTCATATTTTGTAGTGATTTTTCATTATTCTTATGAATCATGTATTTTAACTCTTATTTTCTCATTACTTTTCCAGATGTTTTCTTCTGTGTTTTTTGTAACATATCCCTGGTCAATGGATCTCTTTGAATTTATATCATTTCTCTGTGTTAAGAATCTTCTTTATGAAGTAGCATATAATAACACTATTTAATCTCTGCTTAGAGCAAGGGAAGATCCTTGTCAGATAGATCCAAATTACCTATGGATATTTTATAAAAATGAGAAGTGGACTTTACGTGTTTTCCTTCATCTGAAAATGAACAGTCTTAAGACACTATTTGGTCTTTCATGGAAGTGGAAGCATTCCAGATAAAATAAAGAAATGTTCAAGAAACTAGAATATGAATAGTTAATAAGGATCTTAATTTGGTTCCATTTTGAAGTCACTTGTAACTTTTATTTTGTTATAGCATTGGATTTCTACTAACCTTTCTATGTATATTTAAAATAATGTTGTAGAGAAACATGTCCTTATGATGTGATCTTACTAAGGCTACCTAAATCTTGAAAGTATTAATTTGGGAAAGCTGACATGTCCTGACTTAACCTCTGATTTCCCCATTATATTTTGGTAGTAGAATTTGACTTAAAACTTGTTTTACAGGAGTTAATGCTCTATTTATGTAGTTTTTTTCCCTTGTTTAAAAACAAAGATTTAGTGGTTCTTACTTTTTGCCGCTAATGTCCTATAATTCTAAATTCTGTTTTCTCCTCTCTAGAGAATTTCTCTGCGCCCCCAGATGTCACTACAACTACCTCTTCTTCCTCATCATCATCCTCAGTACGCCCAGCAAATATTGATCTGCCCCCCTCGGGGATAGTAAAAGGCATGCACAAAGGATCCAACAGGTCCAGCCTTATGGATACAGCTGATGGTAGGTAGCTCTTTTTGGTAACTAAATAGGGAGTATAAATTAAACTGTAAAAATACAAATTCTAAACAGTAGTTCCTAACCATCTATTTCAGTAGCTGTAAGACTACATTGCACTGGGCTCAGTTTCGACAGGTCATCTGAGTGCCTTCTTCAAGAAAAGCATGCTATAAGAGAAAAGGGAACTTAGGTGAAATCATAAAGAAGTGTATTAATAATAACACCATATTTGTTCTTTATTGCCATCGAACTTGTGTACATACTTGTACCTGTTTGGTCCAGTTAAAATAGAGTGAGACTGGGGAAAGGCCATCACTAGAAAAATAAGCTCCTGAGGGAATTGAGGAACTAAAATATCCTTTTCAAGTCAATGAATTTTAACTTAACTCATCTCTTTTTCCTTCCAGGTGTCCCTGTCAATAGCAGAGTATCCACAAAAATCCAGCAGCTTCTTAACACTCTGAAACGACCCAAAAGGCCTCCTTTGAAGGAATTTTTTGTAGATGACTCTGAAGAAATTGTGGAAGGTAGTAGTAAAAATGCCAAAAACATATTTCTTAAACAAATATTTCTTAATCATTTATTATATGTCAATACATAACCTTAAAGGATGAGCAAGACATAGATCTTAGATTAAAGAGTTCAGACTTCTCTGCTCTTTTTTTCCTAAAGATCATTTATATTTTAGTTCTCAGGTGAAAGGTAAGGATGGAGGGAAGGAGGAAAAGGGCAAAGAGATAACTATAGGACATAAAACTCTTCCTTGAACTGGGCATAGTGGCATATGCCTGTAATCCCAGCAATTTAGGAGGCTGAGGCAAGAGAATTGGAAGTTCAAGGTCAGCCTCAGCAACTCAGTGAGACCCTGTCTCAAAATAAAAAGGGTTAAGAGATGTAGCTCAGTAGTAAAGTGATCCTGTGTCAAATCCCCAGTACTACCCCTCCTCCAGAATGAGAACTATTCCTCAATAATATATTCTTTGAGTTTAGGAAATACAAATACACAATTTTAAAAGTTACTTATGTTAGACATCAAATTAAATTAGATATTAAATTCAACTTCAAGGGCTGGGGATGTGGCTCAAGCGGTAATGTGCTCGCCTGGCATGCACGGGGCGCTGGGTTTGATCCTCAGCACCACATAAAAATAAAATAATGATGTTGTATCCACCGAAAACTAAAAAATAAATATTTAAAAAAAAATTCAACTTCCAAAGTTTGCCCAGGCTTAGCCAGGCTCCATGGCACACACCTGTAATCCCAGCTACTCAGGAGGCTGAGGCAGAAGGATCATGTCTGGGCAACTTAGTAAGATCCTGTCTCAAAATAAAAAGGGCTAGGAATGTAGCTCTGTGGTAGAGTACTTGCCTTGCATGCTGGAGGCCCTGGATTCAATCAACAGTACCATCAAAAAATGTTCCCAGTCTCTTTTTCATTTAACATAGTCCTTTCATTAAATCATCCAGTCGACATATATATTTGCCTTCTGAATCATAGTGTGGTAGATGGTGAAAAAAGTTTCAAGATTTAGGAAAATGCACTCTTCCTTTGTGTTGTTTGTGATTTAAATAAGTGCTAAAATATATAGATGTGGAAACTTACTTAGCCAATAAGTTTGTATCAGTGAATATATACAACTGTGAGAAGAGAAGAAATTAGTTCCATCTGTGTGGTTAAAGAAGACTTCACAGAGGAATAGGTAATCATCAGTGTTTTATTCATTCAATAAATTTTTAAATATTTATGGATGAAATCATGTCTAGGATATAATAGGGAAAGATGAGCAGAGAATGGGTGTGAGCACAGATAAAATGAAATGACCATTTGATAATTATTGAAGCTTGGTGATGAATAGACCTACCTAACAAAGCCTTTGTCAAAGAGAGAGCAAGTGAGAAGCTTTTGTCCAGAGAACTAAGCCTTAGTGGCTTTGTAGTTTGTTTTTATGCCCTGAACTAATAGTAGCTTTGATCACATCAGGCTATTAATATAATTAGGCACATTGGTAGGCTAGATCCAATCTTAGCCCAGTTCATGCACCAGGAGGCAAAAAGCAATTTGACATATGAGGTTAAGATTCTGTTTCTTCAGGAGTCACTAAATTCACTGAACTGTGGACATGCTTCTTTTTGGGAGTGGGGTGGAAAATGGGGATTTAACCCAGGGGCAGTTTACTACTGAGCAATATCCATACCCCATTTTCTTTTCTTTTTATTTTGAGGTAGTCTTGCTAAGTTGCTAAGGGTCTCACTAAATTGCTGAGGCTGACCATGAACAGTCTTCCTGTCTCAGCCTCCCCAATGCTGGGATTATAGGTATGTGCAACCACATCTGGTAGATGTCTTTCCTGATGCACTGATATTCAAAGTGCTAGCATTGGGCTGTGGCTATGGCTGTGGCTCAGCGGTAGTGCACTTACCTGTCATGTGTGAGGCATTGGGTTCGATTCTTAACACCATATATAAATAATAAATAAATAAATGGGTAAAGTTCTATCAACAACTTAAAAATATTTAAAAAAAAAAGTGTTTAGCATTGTATATTGGCCTGGCACGAAATGAAAGTCAAGGTTTAAGAGAGATCACACTTAACAATTTGCATTGGCAGAATAGAGCTAACAGTGTTCTCCTGATTAAAAATAAGTACAATTGCTTGATTTGAGTAATTAATGTTTGGAAAAAGGGGAAAAAAAAACCCTATATCTTTGGAAGTCTGAAAGACTGAGCCCAAAGCATAGTCTTTCAGAATTCCGAAGGCCTAGTGGAAAACAGCAATAATATACACATTATTTACCTCCAGTTCTTGGAAAGACGGTATTAAAAATCTAACTTTAAAAACAAATTCAGTTCAGTTCAACTAACATTTTTGAGCAACCTCCAATGTTACAGGTAGTGGAGAAAACAAAAAGAAAGAACCATCCCTTACCTTAGGAAGCTGTCAGTCTCAGGTTGCAGAGACTGTGGGATACATGTCTCATAATGAAAGCCATTGAGGATCCTCTGTTTTAATAAGGGTAGAGTACCATATAAGGTGGGAACACTAAGGAAGGAATAGTCTCCTTAAGGAGTGATTGGGGTTGGTCCCCAAATAATGTGCTGTTGGAATGAGTGCTGAGGAGGATGAGTAAAGGGGTTAGATGTTTGAAATGTATGCAAAGGGCAAGATGTGATGGCTCATATCTGTAATCCCAGAGACTCAGACCTGCCTTAACACTGGCCACAAACTGTAAAGAATGAAAAACAAGTTTACTAATAAATTTGAAATTGCTAAAGAGAAATTTACACTCTGTGCTTTTTTTTATATGTGCAGTGATTTGTTTTTTCACTGTTAGATATTATTTGTTGCGTAAGAACATGTTGAATGTGATTTTACAATTCAGTGGAAAATTCAAATAAGGCCCAGTTTGTGGAAACCACCATTTCTAACCATGTCTTTTCTCAAAGTGAGTTTAAACCAAATGATTATGAGAAGAGGGAAGTGTGTTTGACATTAGAGCTGTGTAAACTCATGCATGGATTTATTTATTTCACCTTACTGATTTTTGGTACAGTACCTCAGCCAGACCCCAACCAGCCCAAGCCTGAGGGGCGGCAGATGACGCCTGTGAAGGGAGAACCCCTAGGAGTCATCTGTAACTGGCCACCTGCGCTGGAATCTGCCCTGCAGCGATGGGGTTCCACCCAAGCCAAGTGCCCCTGTCTGACTGCACTTGATGTGACAGGGAAACCAGTTTACACACTTACATATGGTGAGTTTACCAGAGTGCTAATCCTTCTTTTCTAAGAGTTTCTCACAATATTATGGGTAGTATTTCTTTTGATATTTAGCAGTTGCTGGTTATTATGTTTTAGAAGATCTTGTCAATTATTTAATAGGTTCCTAAGTAGTAAGTAAAGCTATTGTGAAATATTTTCATTTGCTGAAGTGACATTTGCAAGCCAGCTGATGTTTAAAGACAGCAAAAAGAAGAGAGATTGTAGATCCACTGATGTTTTGAAATTAAAAAATGGTCAGTATTAATAATGTATGGAGAAAATCAGATAGTCTTATTTAAAAATTGAAACTTACTATTTTTTTTAGATCTTTACTTTATCCTTCATTTTGCTTATAATAGGCACAAAATTCTATAATGAACAAAAAAATCAGTACTTTTAAATTTCATTCCATGTAAAGTTTTTGTTTGCTTACTTTTTGTAGTCCTGGGTGTTGCATTCAGGGTTTTTAGGCATGCTCTAGGCAAGTGCCCTGCCACTGATACATTTCCCCAGCCCCTAAAGATTTTTCTTTTTTCCTTCCCACCACCCCCTTTTTGAAATAATTTTAAGAAACATGGAGTCAGCCCTGGGTTGTGAGATTTTATACTAGTTTATTCAAACAGATTTCTTTTCCTCTTTCCACACACATTGTCTATAGACCTAGACTGAAAATAGTTTTTGAGGAAAAAATAAGTATTTATTTAAAAGAATTTGCAGGTTGAACTAGTTTAAACTTTGGATGGCCCTCTGAAAAAGTTGTATATAAAAATAACGTATCTATTTAAAATAGCATTATTTCTTTTTTACCTTTCTCATGATTTGAACTAAGAATTTCTAGGGCTGGTTGAGGGGAGGGAATAGTAGGAAATTGGAAATAAAAGGATTTTCTTTCTTTTTTGCCAAAATAGTTTTTCACCACAGAAGTTGTATACTAATTTCATTCACATAATCCTTAAAAAAGTCATTTTAGCTGGCCAGATCCATACATTTTTATTTAACATCTATGAATATATCCACATTTCATATAATCAGTTTCCATTTTATTGTGTGTTTGTACTGACTTACAGTGGCATGAAATGTTGAGTCATCGGAGTCTTTTTTTTTTTTTTGGCACCAGGGATTGAACCCAGGGCCACATGAGTCATATTCCCAGCCCTTTTTATATTTTGAAATAGGGTCTCACTAAGTTGCTTAGAGCCTCAGTAAGTTGCTGAGGCTGGTTTTGAACTTGTGATCCTCCTGCCTAAGCCTCCCAAGCCACTGGGATTATAGGTGTGCACCACTGCAACCTGCTGAGTCTTACCTTTGTTTTCCTGTTACCTCATGTATCTGAAAGCACCTATATGAATGATTCTTCAGAAGAAGCTTCAGAAGAAGCTCAGTTCTACAAAACAAAGATTGTTTTCTTCCCTGAAAATGTGATTGTCTCACATCAATTTATTCCTAAGGCTATTCATATAACTTCAGAAAAGAAGTAATGTCAATATTGAAGTGGTTTCATGATACTTTTAAAATAACATGTTAATGAAAATTCTTTAAGCTGTCTTCTCCTATTTTTTGTTATTAGTTTTGCTACTTTTGTTGTAAGGCTTAAGCCTATCTACCTCCTATAAACCAGAGTGACATTTTTATTTCAAGGCAGGACTAGCTCTTATAAATTAGAAAAAATATAAAGCTTTGGGGGTACTTTTATTTTGTTTTGGGTGAGGGGTGGTACTTATAGAATCTATTAATTGAAAGTAGCTATTGTCTTAGTTACCTTGATTAACTGCATGCTTTCTTGTTGAGATAGCTTGTGTTTTTTCTGTGTGACTCTTCTTTTTTTCAGGAAAGTTGTGGAGCAGAAGTTTGAAGTTGGCCTACACACTGCTTAATAAACTGGGTACCAAAAATGAACCTGTGTTAAAACCTGGAGACAGGGTAATTGATTTTTTGGTTTTAGAAAAGTGGTGTTTATTGTTTTCTAATTAATATGCACCTTCTGGGGACTTTTTTGGTTGTTTATTTTTTGTGGTACTGGGGATTGAACCCAGGGGTTTTACATATGATCTGCCACTTAGCTGCATCTCTAGCCTGTACCTTCTGAAGTTTTAATGTACAACAGGAAAATTTATGTAATTCTTACTTTTAGAAAACAAAAATGGTTTAGTTCTAACCCAGGTTAGCCCAAGGCCAGGTAATGGTTCTTGCATTCAGAGATTGAGTCAGTTCACATGTCCCTTTCTGAAGCTGTTCTTTTGTAAACTCCTAAGGTGCCAATAAAAATGAAACCTAAGTTTTTCTGGAAATAATTTTTTTCATTCTTTTTTGTATTGAATGTTGAACTCAGGAGTGTTTTGCCACTGAACCACATTCCCACCCCTTTTTATTTTTTATTTTGGGATAGGGTCTCACCGAATTGTTGAGACTGACCTTGAACTTGTGGTCCTCCTGCCTCAGCCAAGTTGCTGAATGACAGGTGTGCACTAAGCACCTGGCTTAATATACTTTTCTATCTAGAGAGATCCACTACATTTATTTTATTGCTTTAGTCCTGTAAAATAAATTGCCTTGGGTTTCCTAAGTAATTACTATTTAAGGCAAGTAGCTTACTGCTAAATCACCAATAAAATTAACTGAAAAATTATTATGATAATGATGATGAATTACATTTTTATTTACCAAAATGTATAGTAGTATAATTATGAGAATGATGGAGATCTTTTTAGATTTTTTTTGTTCTTCTCAGTAACTTACTTTCCTTTAGAACAATGCCTAATAGTTTGATTTATTATGTTAGTGATAAATATTATATCCCTTAGAGAATGATATTGAAAGAATTACTTTGTTTGTATTCCTCTATTATTGAATGTCTTTTTGCATTTTAGGTAGCCCTGGTTTACCCCAATAATGATCCAGTCATGTTTATGGTAGCTTTTTATGGATGTCTCCTGGCAGAAGTGATTCCAGTGCCAATAGAGGTACCTCTTACCAGAAAGGTAACATTGTTAAATTAAGAGAAATGTAGCCCAGTAACATGATAGGCATTGGGTTCTTGTTGGATTAGTTAATACAGTCACAACATTGAAAACAACTATTTTCTGAAGTACTTAGATTCTCTTTCTAAAAACATGAAAGTTGTAGAAAATTTATGTAATATTTTCAAGTATCCTACAAAGAACAACTAAGATAGTTTTTTCCCCCTTTTGATGGTACTGAAGATTTAACCCAGGGTTATTCTGCTACTGAGATATATCCCCAGCCCTTTTTTATTTTTATTTTGAGATAGGATCTTGCTAAGTTAACCAGACAGACCTCAAACTTGCAATCCTATTGCCATGGTCTTTCAAGTCATTGGGATTAGAGGCATGCACTACCATACCTAGCTAAGGTAAAATTTTAAAGAATTTTTATAGTAATTGTGTGTCATATAAAACTCAGGGAGACTTACTGTTTTTGTTCTTTATTTTGTATCAGGGATTGAACCCAGGGGCACTGAACCACTGAACTATATCTTCAGCCCTTTTTATATCTTTATTTTGAGACAGGGTCTCACTAAAGTTGCTTGGGGGTCTCACTAAGTTGCTGAGGCTGGCTTTGAACTTGTGGTCCTCCTGCCTCAGCTCCCGACTCGCTGGGATTACAAGTGTGCACCAAAAGGGAGAGTGATACAGTAGTGGTGTGGGCCTACTCTGGATTATAGCATTTTACTTTGACAATACATCAGTCCTATTAAATGGAGGACTACCTAACAAATTTCCATATTTTACTAAATGATTTCTTCATGAGCTTTTACCCTGATTTTCTCATGCTATTTATTACTGAGAGTTGTCAGAGATAAAAATATTGGATAATGTGGATTTATAAGAAAAAATATTCTTTGAAAAAAAATAAAAACAAACTGGTAACATTCATGAAGTTCTAGTTGGTGGTATGTAGTAATCTCCATTGGTCACAAAATTATAGAGTTCTTCAGTTATTAAATTGACAGTATTTATAATGATACTCTTATATGACATGTTAATGAAAATTCTTTAAACTTTTATTTTTTGTTATTAGTTTTGCTACTATTGTTGTAAAGCTTAAGCCTACCCCCTTTAAAATAGAATAATAAAAGGAATATATTTATTTGGAATAATTACATCGTGACTTTCATTGTAAATTTGGACACTGGTATACATTTACCTTATTATTATTATTATTATTTTTTCTAACATGAATTACCTTGCTCTTAAATGTGGGGTAGGGCTATGGGATGACAACTGTGTTAGTATTTATTTCATTTGCCTAAAAGAATATCATCGATGACCCTTAAATAGAATGTTCACATATAGCTAGTAGAATTCATAATTAGCAAAGTCAGGTTAATAAAATATTTGGTTATACTTAGGAAATCATTGTGCTGTAGAAATTATTGGAAGAACATATTGTCACTGGATTTTGACATTTGCCAGAAATCGGTGGGGCTTCAGTGCTATCATACAAGTGCCAGAGCATTATGAAGTGCTAGATTTGGGTCATAGGTGTGCTCACATTCACTGTCCTACTGTGCTTATTATCTTTTCTCTACAGGATGCCGGAGGTCAGCAGATTGGCTTCTTGCTAGGAAGCTGTGGTATTGCCTTAGCTCTAACCAGTGAAGTTTGCCTAAAGGGTCTGCCAAAAACACAGAATGGAGAAATTGTACAGTTTAAAGGCAAGTAATACTTATACCCAGATTATTAGTTAAAAGTTAAAGCTGATTGCTTTAATTAGCATTTTAACTTAGTAACAACTGAGTACTTTATATATATTTTCTTATTTAATTCTTACAATCTTACAAAGTAGGTACCATTATTATCCCCATTTTCAGGTAAAGAAACTGAGAAATAGGTTATCCAAAGTTACAGCTAATAAATAGTAGAATAGCAATTTGAACCCTAATCTGTCTGATTCCACACTCTTACCTTTATGCTTCTGGTTGAAAAAAAGTTACCACTCTCTACATTAAAGCTAAATGTAGAGTCAGAGGATAAACAACTAACATCAGTGGACTTCCACTGCCAGATGGACCTCCCTATTGTTGAGGTAATGCCAAGTCTTGGAATTAGCATGTGGAATTATTGTACTGTGTATTTTATTGATTATAAAAATGTCTTTAATTTGGTCTCTTGATATTTAAAGTGACCAATTAAGTGTAAACTCCTTCCCTGATAACTTAGGCAATTCCATTTATACTATGGGTTTGATTTAGGTTGGCCCCGGCTCAAGTGGGTTGTAACAGACTCCAAGTACCTTTCAAAGCCACCTAAAGACTGGCAGCCCCACATCTCTCCTGCTGGTACAGAACCTGCATACATTGAGGTAAGTCCCGAGACTATAAACGTGCTTTCTAGCTTTCCTTTGGCCTGAGTTGCAGGAATTTTGTTTGTTTGTTTGCTTCTTTGTTTTTGTTTTTTTAAATTGTGGTGCTAGTGATTAGTTGTATTTTTCATGGTAAAAGATCCTCTTCTGGGACTGTACTGGGAGCAGTGGTGCATGCCTGAGGACAGAAATTCAAAGCCAGCCTCAGCAACTTAGCAAGGCCCTAAGCAACTTAGTGAGAGCCTATCTCAAAATAAAAAATACAGAGGGCTGGGACTGGGGCTCAGTGGTTATGCCCCTGTGTTAAATCCATGGCACCAAAGGGGGGAAAAAAATAAAGATTCTCTTACTTTGTGAGATTATCATCTTTGGGCTTGTAAATGCTTTTTATTCTAAATGTTTTTATCATAAATACTCATATAAGAAAAAAGATAGCAAAGAAATTGATTCTCCATGTAAGAAAGTTATTAAAAAAAACTTTAGAGAGGTACAAAGGTTTAAGAAATGATTTATTTTTTAAAATATATTTTTAGTTGTGGATAGACCTTTATTTTATTTATTTATTTACATGTGGTGCTGAGAATTGAACCTAGTGCTTCACACATGCCAGGCAAGCGCTCCACCACTAAGCCACACCCCAGCCCCAAGAAATGATTTATTAGCAGAGAAATTTATTTGCTGATCTTATAGGTGAGTCAGGAACAAGGTTATGGAGAAATGAGAAGGGAAAATATCTGTGCATGGAAAGAACAAGTTCAACAGATGGAAAATAAAGAGCAAGAAGAAACAGAGGGTTTGGTATTGAAGGTTAGTGTAGGACCTTGATTGTAGGAACTTGGCAAAATGATCTAGTTGTGGGATCAAGTCTTGCTGTATACCAGGTATCAGGCTAAATGCTTCAAATGCATTATTTCATTGAGTCTGAACATTTATTATAAAACATGCTTTTTAGATGAGAAGACTGAGACTCATAAAACTTGAGTAACTGACCAAATATTGTATGACCTACAAATAAGTGAATCAGTAATATTTTCTTTCAATCCCCTATACCAAAAATAAAAACAAATTAGTGTTCAACTCTTAGTCTATATCATATCTAAGTGTTGACACGGCTCATCATTCCATTTTCCTAAAACTTTAGTCATAGGCTTCCTAGACTGTTCTCTCAGTTCTTCAACCTCACTGACCATACCTTTTCAGTCTTCTTCTTTGGTTTCTCTGAAAAAGTTGAGGACCCTTACTTAGCTCTCTGACCTCATGTAGAACTACTATGCCCCATATTTTTAGGCTCCTGTTCTCATGAATTAATTGAAATTCTTACTTGAGACCCTCATATTACCTACAGGACTCTGCTACTGGATTTAAAGTAGTATGGATAAAAGGGATCTACTGAAGGGTTGTCAGCAGGAGAGTAAAAAATGAGTTTGTTATAAGATACATCTAGATTGGTTGGGTTATGAAAAACAGACCAGCTTTTTCTGTTGTCTAGGTAAGCCCAAGGTTGTGTTAGTAGAAACAAAGGGAAGTAGGTGGAGTTGTGAGACAGGAAGTAGGGCAGGCAAGACTGATACTGGAGAGGGAGAATGCAAGAAAGACCCTGGTTTCTGACTTGGGTACTTGGATTGATGGTGGCATTCTTCATAAGATAGAAGTCATTAGAAGTTTTCATGGGTGGAAGTGGGATAATCAGTATTTGATATATTGAGTTTCACAGCACTAGGGCCCCTCCAGGGGAACACTTGACACATTGTTATCTGGATCCCTGAAGAGAGGCCTGGGTGGAGATTAGAGAATGAGGAATCATCAGGAATGTAGTACCCTGAAGAATAGGGTGAAAAGAAGAGGAAGGAGAGTTGAGCTCTAAGAGAGCACCAACATTTAAGGGCTTGTCAGAGACTCTAAGGAAGAAACAGGAAACTAGAAGAGAGGAAAGATGACCAAAGTCAAGGAAGGAGACAGTGTCAAAAAAGAATAGTCAAATGTACAGGAAGTTCTGGTTAAAGTACAAAAAAAGACAAAAGAGCTGTCCCCACTTTTCCTCTTTTCTTTTTTCTCTCTTCCCTCCCTCCCTCCCTCCCTCCCTCCCTCCTTCCTTCCTTCCTTTCTTTCTTGTCTTTTTTTTTTTTTTTTTAACAGGACTGGGGATTAAACCCATAGGTACTCTGCCACTGAGCTGCATCCCCAGTCTCCCAGACTCACCTCTTTATTTGGTACTGGGAGTTGAATTTGGTGGCACTCAACCATTGAGCCACATCTCCAGCGCTTTTTTGTATTTTATTTAGAGAGACAGGGTCTCACTGAGTTGTTTAGCGCATAGCTGTTGCTGAGGCTGGTTTTGAACTTGCAATCCTTCCTCAGTCTCCTGAGCGCTGGGATTACAGGCGTGCACCCACTGTACCTGTCCTCCCAGCCCTTTTTATTTCTTATTTTTGAGACAGGATCTTGCTCAGTTGCCAAGAGTGGTCTTGCATTCCTCTTGCCTCAGCTTCTCAAGTAACTGCAATGACAGGCATGTTGCCACCATGCTTGGCTGCAAAATGTCCTTTTGATTTAACATCAATAAAGCTGATAGCTAACTCAGGAGGCTGAGGCAGGAGGATTTTAAGTTCAAGGCCAGCCTGAGCAACTCAAGGCAACTGAGCACTTCCCCAGTCCTTTTAATCTTTTTATTTTGAGACAGGGTGTCACTAAGTTGCTGAGGCTGATCTCAAACTTGGGATTCTTCTGGCTCAGACTTTTTTCTTGTCATCATTCCCTATCAAAACAATATAACATCTATTTATTTAACAGTTACATTGTATTAGATATTATAAGTAATCTAGAGAAGAGATAAAGTCTACAGGCAGAAGAACCAGGTTATGTGCAAATACTATGTCATTTTATATATAAGAAACTGAGTATCTTCAGTTTCTGGTATGTGAGTAGAGTCTTGGAACTAATCCCACATGGATATCAGAGGACAACTGTGTTTGGTATTGTGCTTCTATTAATGCAGCTCAAATTACTTCTTTTTGGCTTTTTTAGCAGCCACTTCACACTTATGAGTAATTAAACTTTTAAGTCTTTTTCATACATAAATTTGTTGAGCTTTGTCATCCCCCAAACTCTATGAGTAGAGTTTGGGATCCAAAGTGTATAGCCTTAATTAATTATATTCAGTAAGTTAAACTGAGCCCATTATGAATGTTTACCTGGGTTTTGGTTTTGGATTCTAGTTTTGTAATTTAAAATAACCCCTTTTATTGTGTTTCTTATATTTTGTTTGTGTTTTATTTTTCTAGTATAAAACAAGCAAAGAAGGGAGTGTAATGGGAGTTACAGTGTCCCGGCTTGCAATGTTGTCTCACTGCCAAGCTCTGTCACAGGCCTGCAATTATTCTGAAGGTCAGACCTCATCTTATGACTGCCCTCATTGTTAGCCTCAAAAACATGTGATTGTGAGCAGAGTGCTCAGTGATTGGATTCATTTTAATGACCAAATTCAAAGGGAAATGTTCTAATACACATTCTTGTTTGCAAATATGCTGTAACTTGAAGGAACTAAAATTCTGGGCAAACCAAATATGTAAAGCATGATTTATAGAGTACAGAAATAGAAAACCCTAATTAAAACCAAGTGTTTATTAGCTGTGGGGTCTCTGGTTTCTCCATTTTCCTGAGTGTAGAGAATTGGCCCCTATACATTTGGAGTCAAAATTCGGCTAACCAAACAGTACAGACTAAAATGCAAGTAAGTTTCTGTAGTGTCAGACTTGATATGTTGACACATATTGTATTACTACTCTTTGCTTTAGAATGTTCTTTATCATATTAATCTTTTGTGTTTTATTTTCCTTTTGCAAAATGCAGCATATTAATGTATGTTCATTTTATAGCAGTATTCTCATCTGATTAAAAAATGTATATAATTGTAGTAATCAAAATGCCCCAAAATAGGGATTGATAAAATTATAATGCATTCATATAATGGATTATACCCTGTGGCAGTAAAATGCATGTTCCTGAATGTTAAAGCTATTTTTAAGTGGAAAAAAATAAAAGTAGATATAGAGCTGTGGACACTGATTTTGTTATGTTGGATATGTATATGTAACTCTATCTACAAGTTTATGTGTGTGTAGACATAGAGTATATATGCATGCATACACATATATACATACATACACTCTCAGACACAGTTTTTATTTCTCTAGAGAGCATAAGTTTTTACATAAATTTGTGGAAATTCCAAAGTTTCCAAAATTAAGTATGTGTTCTTTATAAAATTAGGAAAAAAAATCTCCTGGAAGAACTGCCTAAGTGATCAGGAATTTCTAGTGTCTGCTGTGACCCTGTAACATCACCTTGTTATCAGTCCTCCAGCTAGTTTGAGGGGGCCTCACACAGTCAGAAGACCCTGAGAGTTCTTAATCAGTTCTCTAAAAGCACTAAATCAGTTGTTTAGTAGAGGCAAGTGACATGATTTTGCTGCTTAACATTAAAGATTGTTTCTTTGTGTTCTCTCTCTCTCTCTTTTTTTTTCCTATTTTAGGAGAAACAGTCGTTAATGTTTTAGACTTCAAGAAGGATGCTGGGCTGTGGCATGGCATGTTTGCGGTAAGCTACTTAAAATTAAGGCATTTAGTGTAAGTTATACTTAATGTTAAAGCCATAGATTACCTCTGTGTTTCTTTGGTATTTAAGCCCCCAAAAGATGAATAATATATTCTAGAGCACGTCTAACCTTTCTGTTGCACAAAATGTATTGAAGATTGCTATGCATAAGCTACATGCTCCAACTAAAGAAGAAAGTAATATGGTAGATGGGGATACTTTCTGTAATAGAGAAATAGGTGACATGCTATGAGTGGCTAAGGACCCCTAGGTTCAATCTCCAGTAGCATCAAAACAACAAAACAAGGGAACTACACAACAGTACTACATAACAGTACTATAAAACAGTTCACAAAGAATTGTGTAGCACTGTTGTACTGATTTTCATAGATTTATCTCTGAAACAATGAGTGTTAGAAAAAGATGACTTCCTTCTGTCCCTCAGCATTGAGGCAGGTGTTATGGAAGAGATAGCAGCTGAGTTGGACTTTGAAAGATAGATAAATGTCAGCAATATAGAGATTTAGGGGTATAGAGGTAGAGAGAGGTGATATATCATGTGGGAAAGCTACATTACATAATATGACATGTTGGAGAGAGAAAACATGGGATCCTAGAGTTGAAAAGGAACTCAAGGAGCATCATCCAATTTACTTAGATATATAAGAGTTAGAGAGTAGAAAATGAAGTCTGAGGAACAGGTCACCCTGTATCCCCTAAATTAGGAAGAGCTTTATTCCATGAGTGTTCCTACTGCCTTGTTATTTTTCTTTTCCATTTCCTCTTTTTTTTTTTTTTAAATCATAAGTTAAAATACTTTGTTAGAAGTTAAGGGGAATCTCCTTCCTGTGATACAAAGTATAAGATAGGTACATAATGTGAAGAATTAGCCATAAACACTCTTTTCTCTAAAACCAAATTTTGTCACCAGAGTTAGAAACTTGAGGAAGGAAGGAAATGGTATCTTACATGCTGTCTTGGTTCTTTGGGTCACTTAGGTGTGAGCATGGTGGCCAGTCTAAATACTATCTAAATACTAGGATTTGGTTACTCTGTCCAGCTGGGTCTCTGGGCACAGGGGATCTGAGTATGTTTGGTTTGGGTGGCAGAAGAGACACCAAACTTCATGACCCTTGATTCCCTCAGTTTTGTCTAACCAAACACTGAACAGGTCTCGCCACCTGTGAGAAACAGGAGAAATGATGTTTTTGCTTTGTAATACCCACTCTGCTGGTCACAAGTGGAGCACACCTGTGATCCCAGTGGCTCAGGAGGTTGAGACAGAAGAATCATGAGTTCAGAACCAGCCCCATCAAAGCAACTCAGTGAGACCCTGTCTCTAAACAAAATACAAAATAGGGCTGGGGATGTGGCTCAGTGGTTGAATGCTCCTGAGATCAATCCCTGTTATCAAAAAAACAACAAAACAAAAAACACCCACCTCTTTGTGGTATGTGACAAGTTTGAGCATGAAAAAAGCATTTGATGGGTTGGAGAGAACTTTGACTATATCTCTAACATTTAAAAAACATCTACCATGGCCTGAAAAAGTATTGGTGCATGCCTATAATCCCCGCAACTCCAGAGGCTGAGGCAGGAGGATCAAGAGTTCAAAGCCAGCTTCAGCAACTTTGTGAGGCCCTCAGCAACTTAGCCAGACCATGTCTCAAAATAAAAATAAAAAGGTTTGGGGATATGGCTCAGTGGTTAAGCATCCTGGGTTCAATCCCCAGTAGCATCAAAACAACAAAACAAAAAAGAACTACACAACAGTTCACAAAGAATTGTGTAGCACTGTTGTACTGATTTGCATAGATTTACCTCTGAAACAGGATGAAAAAAGCAAGTTATAAATAGAGGTATTCGATGATGCCTTTTATTTAAAATACTTTATATTTCTTTAGGAATATATATATACACATACATACATACACACACACACACACACACACACACACACACACGCATTGGAAAAGGACTGGAAGGATACATATATACCAAATTCATAATTGTGATCATCTTTGGGGAAGAGAGGAGGGAACCAGGTTAAAGAGGAGGTATCAAAGGAAGTTCAACCCTGTCCTGATTATCTCAAAGTTTGTTTTTCAAAGAGCTTGTGTTTGAGTAATACTTCTGTAATTAAAATTGTTAACTGAATTAATGTATTTGATATTGATTGCCTTTTATCTTTCTTTGCTTTTCAGAATGTAATGAATAAGATGCATACAATTAGTGTACCCTACTCTGTTATGAAGACCTGTCCTCTGTCTTGGGTCCAGAGAGTCCATGCCCACAAAGGTAGATGCAGACAGCATTTAAGCTTTAATTATGTGGCTGGTTGAATTAAAATTTCTGGAACTTCAAGGGTTTTTACATTACCCCTATAAAGACAGATTTCTATGTGTTGGTGACTTAACAAATGTTAGAGCTCAGTTACTATAGAATTAGGTATGTTTCTATTTCATTTCAGTGATACTCTTTCTTAAGAATTTAGATGAATTTGTACAAGTTTGAGTCCAGATTAGACATATTGCATGCAGTGGTGTCCAAAATTTCCTTGGCTAGGATGCTGTGACCTGTTCAGAGGTCACAGTGAGCAACAATTACATATCTGTCAGTTGTCTAAATGTGGTGCTTTCTTCCTCTGAGTAGCTGGCACAATCTGTTTGAAACCTTTGTCATTTTCTTCAAGTAAGACTTTTGATCCCCCCAATTCATAGAAGTGTTTATATTATAGTGTTTATATTAAATATATACCAAATTTAGCAAATGTGTATGCTAACTTTATTTAAACCCTTTGAATTTATAGCCAAAGTAGCTTTAGTAAAATGTCGAGACTTGCACTGGGCTATGATGGCACATCGGGACCAAAGGGATGTAAGCCTGAGTTCTCTCCGAATGTTAATTGTAACTGATGGAGCTAATCCCTGTGAGTATTTCTGTTGTGTGGGCATAGGAATATCCTTTCCTTTGGTGGGTTAGGTTTTTTTTGTTCCTTTTTTAGAGTTTTTTTTTTTTATCATCTATATTAAGATATAATTAATGTACCATAAAACTCATTCACTTAAAATGTACAATACAGTGTTTTTGTTATCTTCATGGAGTTTCACAACCATCACTGTGACCTAGATTTAAAACTTTTTTTTGATACCTAGGGTTGAACCCAGCGGCACTTAACCACTCAGCCACATCTCTAGCCCTTTTTTATTTTTTATTTTGAGACAGGGTCTTGCTAAGTTTCTAAGTTTTTGTGGCTGGCCTCGAACTTGCAATCCTCCTGCCTCAGCCTCCTGAGTTGCTGAGTTGCTGGGATTACAGATGTGAACACCATGCCTAGCTCCTTTTTTTATTTTTTTGAGACAAGGTCTCGTTAAGTTGCTTAGGGCCTCACTAAGTTGCCAACGCTGGCTTTGAACTTACAATCCTCTAGCCTCAGCTTCCCAAGTTGCTGGGATTACACACATATGCCACCACTGCTGGCAGTGGATCTATAAACTTAAACCACTCCTTGTTCATTTGTGTTCTTTCTATCATGTGACTGTGGGTATTCCTTAGATATAAGATTTACCAAGTTTATTTGTTATGACCTAGTATGTGAACTTTATATAAATTCTCCTAAGCAGCACACCAAAGGAGTTTGCAAAAACTTGTAGAGATCTTACTATTATCTCCTGTTTTTCCTTGTTAGCACAAAAATCCTATTTCTCTATACTGTAGAATTAGGTAAAGCATTTGACTCTTTGTCATAAGTGGATTTTTATCAGTAATTACATTGATCCTCCTGATTTAAAATATAGACATGGGATTAACTTTAATAAGACAAAAGTTAAGGGATATCTCATAGAAGGTAGAACTAAGCCAAGATTGGCAATCCTAATTAATTCAGGAAGGGTTTCTAAATTAGGAACTGGCTGCAAGTTGCCTACAGTGCTATCTCTGGTATTGATTACTTTGGTAGGCATAGTCTAATTCTAAGTTCTAACTTTATAAATAATGTCAGTAACCTTTGATTGACATGTTCAGACTACCCCACAGGTGCAGAAAAATGTATGGAGTGAATGGTGTACTTTGTGAGTTCTCTTGAGAAACAAATATGTCAGCTTCCCCCTCTTTACGAGTTTCATGCAATAATGACAATTATGTTTTCAGCTTTCATTTGATATTTTCCACCCCATTAGGGTCTGTGTCATCCTGTGATGCCTTTCTGAGTCTGTTCCAAAGCCATGGACTGAAACCTGAGGCCATCTGTCCATGTGCTACATCTGCCGAAGCCATGACTGTAGCAATCCGCAGGTACTATTCACAATGTCAGATCCTGTTGATATGTGTTACAACTTGGGTGAAATGTGCAGTTTTTACCAGGTGATAAAAAGGAATATTATCTAATTTTCAGCTTCATAAACCTGTAAGCAAATAGTAACTTGTAAAATAGTTGGAAGCATCTCATTTATTTTTCCCACTGTTGCCCAAAGTATAACCACTAAACTGACAATTTTATTATACTCATCTCATATATGTGAATTAATTGTTTTTGTGGTGTTTTGTTCTTCTGAATTTTTAGTTAGCATTTTAGACTAGAAATAAGCTATTCTTGATTATGGCATAAGTCTAGAAAAACAAATTTATAATATACCCAAGATTAGTATATGCTTAATAGCCAATTAAAACTTTGCTTTTTTCACCTGACTGAAGGTTGACTATGTTTTGTACATGTAACTTTGGCATATTTTTGGTAAAGAAAAATGGAATTTCTTTTGTAGCCGAAGGAAATTTGTGTTTCTATACATTCATAGTTTTCTCTTGATATAATTTAATTTGCCAAATTTGATTTATTTTTTTTCTTCAGGCCTGGAGTTCCAGGAGCTCCTTTGCCAGGAAGAGCCATTCTCTCAATGAATGGGTTGAGCTATGGGGTAATACGGGTCAATACTGAAGATAAAAATTCAGCACTGACAGTCCAGGATGTGGGGCATGTAATGCCTGGCGGTAAGTTGTGGAGATCACCACTTAGATTTTCATAAAGATATGTCATCAGAGATAGTAGGGCCTGATAACATAAAGAGATTCAAAACCAGGAATCCTAAATTCAGCACTTAACATAATTCATTTCTCAAGCCTCTTGAACAGTCAATTAGATAGAAATATGGTGACTGTTCCACAGTATTATATTACTTATCAACTATGAAGGCTTCCATTACACTTCTTCACATGAAAAGCTAAGTTCTAAGTGATACCAGAGTTGCCTGGTTTTCACTATAATTACCAAGCCTTTGGAACTGTCAGAAAATTAGTGCATACTGTTTCCATGAGTATTTCAGTTTGACCTATCTAGGGATAACACTTAATTCATTTAACCTATTTCTTTGAACTTTGTGGTCATTTTTAAATACGTCACCCTTCTTAAATTTCAGATAGTTTCAGGGTTATTTTTGCCATTTCTTTTGGTATTCCTTTTGTTAAATGGTGCAAGGAATTGAACTCAGGGCCTCATGCACATTAGGAAAGTGTTCTACCACTGAGCTACATCCCTCAGTCCCCTGTTTGATATTCTTTATGCCACTTAGTAAATGTGAAACTTTCCTGGGCCTACAGGATAAAAGTCATTATTTTGCAAAGGTTTTCCAGAGTCTCTGTCTCTTGTATTTTTTTGTGCATTAGGGATGATGTGCATTGTGAAGCCAGATGGACCTCCCCAGCTGTGCAAAACAGATGAAATTGGAGAAATCTGTGTTAGCTCAAGAACTGGAGGCATGATGTACTTTGGCCTTGCTGGTGTGACCAAAAATACATTTGAGGTACATGATGTTAATATCTCATCGGGAAAATGTTTGATGAGGTCACATGTTACTCTAGCTAATGGGACATAGGAGAACATAGTAGTTGAGAGTATTGTGTATTCTGGGAGTATTGTGTATTCTGGAGCTAGATGCCTATGGTCAAATCCTGGCTCTACCACTTTCTGACTGACCTTGCATGAGTCATTTTAGCTTCTTTTGTGTCCCAGTTTCTTTATCTTAAAATGTAAGTGATAATAGTCCCTCCTTCATAGGGCTATTTTGATAACTAAGTAAGTTAATGTTTATAAAGTACTTAGATCAGCTTCTGGCACATAGGAGGTGCTGTTGTGTATCTGTTAGATAAATAAAGGAAAAGAAGCCTCACAAAAATTCATTCTGGTGAATTTGCTATAGTTTGAGCTTTATAAGCTCAAAAGTTTAATTTTTAAGAGTTAAGTGACAGTAGCATATGCTGTGTCAGATCACTGATTAAAATTGAAGAACTGTCCTGTTGTGGAGATCAAAATTGCTCATGTTTTTCAATCTTAGAGTTAGACTGATATTTACTGAGCAACTTTTATGTGTCTGGCACTATTCTAATGCTTGGGGTACATTAGGAAACAAAACAAAGCTCTTAGTAGAGCTTACCTTCTAGTTAAGCTAGCACTTTCTAGCTGAATAGCACATTGCTTTCATGCAGGCTGTTTGGCCTATGAAGCCAAGTCATAATGAGATGTTCACCTGGTCAGCCTAGAAATCACAGCAGTGGTAATTGGCTGTATTTCTTAATTAGGATTAACCTGCCTTAGAGGAGCTTTAGGGACCAGAGATGTTGAGTTGATGGGCTGTTTGCCCTTCACAGTAGATAGGGCTTACATGAGTACTGCCCATTTTCAATCCTTTGAATATTTTTCCTATAATATAGACTAGTGATTCTCAAGATGGCAGGACACTTGTGAGAATCAGTATGTGTGCTTATGACACATTCAAGAATCAGTACATGTACTTATGTACCAACAGATATCAGTAGTGAGAGAGTATCACCTATACGAAATATATCTCTGTTATCTGTGCTGTGGTGCCTGGGGGCTGACTGTCATCTTGGCATCTACACAGCCTAAAATGGTATAGTGTCATTCATTAAATGTCCGTTACTATCATTATCAGTACTATGTTTTTGACCTGCCTGTAAAGGTTGTGCCCAGTTGGTTCACGTTGACAGGAGTGGGTATTAGTGAACTCTTCAAGTATATGTTTACTGCCAGTTTCTTTGTTTACTTTCATGGGTGACTTATTACCTCTCTGGAGTTTATGTTTATTTTAAATCTCTATTTCTTTTTATTTCATTTTTTAAAATTTTGGTGGTATGAATTGAACCTAAAGCTTCATACATGTTAAGCATATGTTCTACCACTAAGCTACATCCCTCACCCCGATTTCTCCTGTTTTTAAGTGCTTGGACTACATGTTCCCATTGCCTAAAATTTTCTTCATTGAATTTTCTTTGCTAAAAACAAGATCCTTCATCAGTGATTTAAAGTACTAATAATACTTTATTTATTTTATTGCCTTTATTATTTTATTACCTTTCCTACATGGCAGTTGCCTAACCAGAATTCTCAAGACTTAACATGAAAGTGATAGGACCAAAGTAACGAAGAAATTTAAAAACCCCCAGTATAAATGTAATAATAGCAAAGTAGAATAAAGTCCTAATCACAAAAGGAGAAGCTACTTCCTTGGCTTTATAAATTAAAATTTCCATTTTTTTTTTTTTTTTTTTAGCTAAAATCTTAGATTCAAATCCTAAGAGTTTTTCAAAGTTACTGATATTTCACTAGACCAGAAGATCTAGTAATGATTAGTCAGAAAGTAAAAATGTATTTTAAAGATAAAATTCTGGGGAGAAAACATTCATAATATGTTAGAACAAATAATGAATTTTCCATCACTGCCATGTGCTTGCTGTTTGATTTGTGGCAAATGAAACTCTGTACCTCATTTTCTCATCTGTAAAGTGGAAATAATAATACTATTTTGTGCGTTTAACATACTGTAATAAAGCAGGTAAACTTGTGTGTCGCATATGGTAAGTACTCAACAAATATTAACTCATGTATTTGTTCCCTCTACACAAAAAGGTCTTAAAAATTAAAGAGGAGCCAGGTATGGTGGCACATACCTGTATTCCCAGCAACTTGGAGGATGAGGCAGAAGGATCACAAGTTAGAGTCTAGCCTGAGCAATTTATCAAGACCCTGTCTCAAAATTTAAAAAAAGTAATAAAAAGGAGCTCAGGATATGGCTCCCCTGGGTTCAATTCCCAGTACTAGGAGAAAAAATCAGTTAGAAAAAAGAAAATTTATGTGAAAATACTACTTACAAAATAAATTAGAATTGCTAGCAAACAAAGGAAAAGAAATTTAACCATATTATTAATAAAGAAATGCAATTAAAAAATAAAGGGAAGCAGGCATGGTGGTTTACGCCTATAATCCCAGCAACTATATAGTGAGAACTTGTCTCAAAATAAAATAAAAAATGCTGGGGATGTAACTCAGTGAGATTATTTGCCGACATGCTTAAGGCCTTGGGTTCAATCCACAGTACAACAATAAAATGTATATCCCTTTGTGCCAGAATGGCAAAATTTGGGAAAATGGATAACACATAGTATTAAGTAGGCTATGGGGAAAATAAACATTCCAGTATGGCATTGGTGATACTGATTGATACAAATTTCGTAGGACAGTCTATGAGAATTGAAAACTTGTACAAATGCATAAAAACATATAAATAGTATTCGTTAAAGCATTGTTTATTATATTAAAAAATTAAGATGAACTACCTACCCATAAAAAAACTATATTGCATTCTGATAGTTAGGATTTCCTGAAAACTGACTCTAAGTTAGGCACTGTGCTTATCTCTGAAAAATTTGTTCACATTCCTTAATATTTACTCTAAGCCTATATATAGAGGCATTGAGAGTTTTGTTTTCTGACTGAAACTCTTGAGTTTCAGAAAAGACAAGGAACTTGCCCACACTCTACCTTTCTGGTAGATGGCAAAGATTCCAAGGACTATGTTGTCCTATCCCCTATGAAATAGTATTCTATGGAGCTATTTTACAAAGTAGGCTAGATCAGTTATTGCCAAATTGGAAGATATCCAAGATATATTGTATGAAAAAGCATATGAAGAAAAAATGATATAAGCCAGGCCTGGAGGCACCATGCCTGTAATCCCAGCGACTCAGGAGGCTGAGGCAGGAGGATCAGAAGTTCAAAACCAGCTTCAGCAGCTTAGGCCCTAAGCAACTTAACAAGATCCTGTCTCAAAATAAAGAGGGTTGCGGATGTGGCTCAGAAATCAAATACCCCTGGGTTCAATTCCTAGTACTCCCCACCAAAATAAAGTTATATATAATATGAGCCCTTTTAAAAAAATGTTAATATACCTTTTAAAAGTTTGGAGAGATAAACAACAAATTGTAAGTGTTTATCACTTAAGGAAATGGGATTGGGCTGAAGATGTAGCTCAGATAGAGCACTTACTTGCCTAGCATACACGGGGTCTTCAGTTTGATCCCTAACATTGTGAAAAAGCGGAAGATGGAATTACTGGATTCATTATATAATGTTAGTTTTTCAACAAGTATGTGTTAACTGTTCTGAATTTTTTAAAGAGACTTTTTAAAACTCAAATACATTTTCTAAGAAAAAGCATTTTTTCATTTTTTTCCTTCTGTCTTTTAGGTGATTCCAGTGAATTCTGCAGGCTCTCCTGTTGGAGATGTACCATTCATCCGGTCAGGATTGCTAGGATTTGTAGGGCCAGTAAGTAATGCTTTCATGTTGATTTGGATACATCTGATTGAAATATTTGGTCATTAATTCACAGTACAGAACAAATTCCGATTATACCAAGGGTGTTACATTGCCACTTAGCTTCTATTTAGAGCAGCTCTTTTAAGAATGCCATAACGTTTGAAGCCAGGTACCCAGTGATTCAGGAGACTGAGGCAGGAGAGTCAGAAATTCAAAGCCAACCTCAGCAACTTAGCAAGATCCTGTCTCAAAATAAAAAGGGTTAGGGATGTAGCTTGGTGGTTAAATATGCCTAGGTTCTATCTTAGGTATCAAAAATAAAAAAGTCATAAATAACTAATGACTATTGTTTCTATTACCAAAGTTAGTTGACTCTGTCAGACTAAAACATTATCTTGAAAATTCACTGCACTTACTCTTGCTTTCTTTCTTTGATTTGGTTAACTTGTTGCAATGAGTTAAAGGAGTGCTGGAAAAAGTATGCTTCAGTACCAAGGTGTAGGGGTGGGCCTTATGGCTTAGTGATAGAGGACTTACTGGCATTCCTGAGGCCCTGGATTCAGTTTCCAGCAAAATACACACATACACCCAGTGAGTAGTAAGGTAAACCATAATGTATAGCATTAGAAAACATTTTCATACAAATTATCAGTACACATTGAGTATAATAGTAAATTCTTTGAGTGAAAACTATTTGTTATTTAGTAAATGGTATTTATAAGGCACCAGGTTTACAGAGACAATTAGGACAGGAAAAGCTTGTCCTCAAAGGGCTCATGGTGAGCTTCATGTACCCACAGTATGGCAGAGAGCCAGGTCACAAGGGACATTGCATGATGAAATGGGAAATTAGGATTTTATTTTGTAAGTAATAGTCATTATCCTAGCGAAGCTATATCCTCCATTTATCTCTAAATCTCCTATACTTTTCTTTCTTCTCTTAATGCTGTAAGTTATAGAAGAGAAGTTATAGAAGAGAAGATCTAACTTTATTTTATTTCTTCCCTACCATTTTTGGGGGGTGGAGGAGAAGGCATAGGTCTAGGAGAAACATTTTCCTAGAAATAGTAATATATACCTGCTGTCTTGGATTTCTTTACTCAACACCAAGAAATTCTCAAAGACTCAGCTCCTTTTAGCTTATTGCTCCACTAAGAGGTCCAGGATGGAATTTCATCTATCACATCTGCATTCCAAGAAACAAAGGAAACAATGTAGCCTTATCCTCCTAAGGAAGATTCCTTAAAACTGCTGTGCAGGTCTTCCAGTTATATGTTATTGATCTACACCAGTCCCATGGCTCCATCTACCTACAAGAGGGGCTGAAATGCTATCTTCATTTTTGTCAACTATGCCCAGCTAAAAATTGTCTTAATGTGAAAATGGAGAGACAGAGATTGGGGGTCTGGCACTTTTTCATTATTTACTCACCAATACCAAAACTTTCAGACTGTATTAGAAATGGCTGGTTCTTCTCTGATACCTAGGATGGTTCATTAGCTTCTTGAGCATAAAGGTTCTGTCTTACTGCTTAGTCCAGTCAGTGTAAGGCAGTACACTGTGCTTTAGTAAGTCAACAAGTGATTTCATGTGAGGAGATAGCTACTAGATCATTGAACATGTGTATGTAGACCAAAACACTTATGAATTCTGTAATGAATGAGGAAAGTTAATTTACTACAGATAGGTCTGGGCAGAGCGTTTGCACAGTGATGCTTTGGGTGCTTTGAAGGTAGTTTCCTGCTGTTTGGTTTTCTTACTGGAAGAGAAAACCTCCTACAGTGACTTTTATTTTATTTTATTTTATTACAGAGACTTTTATTAGCCTGTTTCTAATCATCTCAAATGGAGATATCATTACCCTTATAAATATGAAACAATCATTCTCATATTAAAACAGTTTTGATCTCCTCCAAATTCTAGTAGTAAATGCATTTTTTTTCTTCTCTGCGTTCAATCCTTGAATAGATACAGAAGATGAACTAATACATACTGTGGCTGGGAAAATAAACTGTACCTATGTGGAATCCTAGAACAAATTCCCTTCTTATATATTGCCAGACCCTATTGGATATAAGATGCCACTGATTTCCCCCACTGATTTCAGAGATGTCAAAGGGTGAAAAACTTTATTTAAAATCCATGAAATATGAGCTGGGCCCAGTGGTATACACCTGAAATTCCAGATATTTGGGATACTGATGCAGGAAGATATCAGGTTTGAGGTCATCTTGGGCAACTTAGTGAGACCTTGTCCTATAATGAAAAGAGTTGGGTATGTAGCTCAGTGGAGGAGTGCTCCTGGATTTAATCCCCAGTGTTGTTTGTGAAAGAAAAAAAAATCCATAAAATATGACATTGTTTTCTTTCCTATGTATCTGTATCTTTATATAGCTATATATCCTATAGATATAAATATATATGTGTATATATAGATCTGTGTGTATCTATGTCTATCTCCATATCTATTATCTGTGTATATAGATATGCAGATTGATTGACTAAGTGTGTGTGTGTATAGGATCAGATTGAACCCAGGGCTGCACTACATTTTTAGGCAAGAGTGTCTCTTATTTTTTGATGAGATTTATTTCAAAGCAGGAAGTAAAGTATGTTTTACTGTTCAAAATATGAGAACCAGAGTAAATTATTGTTAACTTTTCAGGGTAGCTTGGTGTTTGTGGTTGGAAAAATGGACGGATTACTGATGGTTAGTGGTCGAAGACATAATGCTGATGACATTGTTGCTACTGGATTGGCTGTTGAGTCCATAAAGACTGTTTATAGAGGAAGGTAAGTAGTATAGGTTTTAAATATTAATGCTTGTAAAGCAGTGCTTTGAGTGGTTTTCTGTAGATTCTCTTTTTAAGTGATGGGGACTTTTCTATTAAACATAGCAGAAGCCTGCCTTTGAATATATATCTCACAGCATCTGTTTTTATGGCTATAATTTAAAGGAATAAGATATAACTGTGTCCTATATATTTCAGACTTTAATTATTACTGTCTGTTCAATCCTGTAAGAGAAGAATTTTAAAACTTCAAACTTCCTACATTTCTTCAATACAGTAATGCCATTCAAACTAATGGAGATAGATGTTGCTCCATAGTTTATATCTAGCAATTATTTTTCTTGTTTCTAATTAAATTATTATACTATTTAATGTGGAGATTGACATAGCACATAACTGCTGATAATTTCAAATCCTTTGGGCAGTTAGGTATCTTTGCTTATTAATGCAAGTCCACATATTTGCTACATTTGAGTAGTTAATGTCTTATTTAGCAATTTATAATCATAAGCATATATTTGCATAGCAATCTTGGTGTCCCTTTAGTTTTTTTTTTTTTTTTTAAAGAAATAAGACAGATTAATGAAACCAAAAGGAAAAACTGGTTCCTGAAATGTGTTTTTTTGGTAATGGTATATAACTTCCTATGAGATATGAATTCCATAGGGTAGACCTTTTATCTTTGGTCATAGTTACATTCCCAGCACTCAGTACAGTGCTTAACACTTAGTAGATGTTAAATAAATAGGTAAGGATGGAAGAAAGAGAGGCAGGTGAACCACCACATTCAACTCTCCTGTGGCTTCCCATTCTTTCATGCATTCATTCAACAAATATTCATTGGATGCCAACCATGTGCCACTGTTTTAGATGATTCAGCTGTGGTGGTGAACAAAATAGACTAAGTCCCTGCCTTGGTCTCTGCCCTCACATTCTCATTGTGAGAAATAGTGACCAAGTAAACAGGGAACTAGATAACATGTGAGTGGGTGGTAAGTGTTGTGGAGAAAAAACACTTGGATGGAGGCCTTGCTAGTTTATGAGGTGGTCTGGGAATGCCTCACTAGTAAGGGGACATTTGAGCGGAGACCTCACTCAAAACCAAATCCATCCTCCCTCCTTCAGCCTCCCAGGCCTCCATGATCTGCCCTTGCCTGTGTCTGACTTTCCTCCTGCTCTCTGCTTCACCACTTTGCTCCAGGCACACTGGCCTTCTTGCTGTTCCTCAAACCTGCCAAGTTCGTCCCTACCTCAGAACTTTTTCGCTTTCCGTTCCTTCTGCCTGGAATCCTCTTCCTCCAGATCTTCGTGTGGCTCGCGTCCTCACCTCATTCAGGTCTCTGCTCCAGTGTCCACTCCCCAGGGAGGCGCTTCCCAACCACCTGCATACCACTCTACCCGGGCCCTGCCCCAGTGTGCTTTCTAGTGCACATCGCAACATGGCATTATTATATATTTGTTGGTTTGTTCTGTCTCTAACACATACACTCCATGAAGACAGGATCTGTGTCTTTATTACCACTATGTCTTTACCATTCATGAAAGTGGTGCTTAATACTTGTTTTTGAATGAATCCGTCCTCATTGTGGTGGTAATGATTGCACATTGTCTTTTCTGAACTGCTTTTTTTCTGGGTGGTGTGGGGGGATGTTTCCACTCTGTAATTCCAGTTAAGCAAAGCAAGTAGGATTGGTTGTAAAGGGAGTCTGATGTGTTTGATCTGTCTCTCTTAGAATTGCTGTGTTTTCTGTGTCTGTATTTTATGACGAGCGCATTGTGGTGGTTGCGGAACAAAGACCCGATGCCTCTGAAGAAGACAGCTTCCAGTGGATGAGCCGGGTGCTGCAGGTGAGCACATGGGCTTTGTTCAGTCTGAAGAGGCCGCCACCCCTGCTTTAGCACTTGCTGCAATGAAACAGTTTTGCCATCTTAGTTTTTTTCTTGCCAGTCACTGCTCAGATATTCTAGGTAACTGTTACGAGAATCAGATAAATAATGACATTTTTCCTTATGGATAACATACATTTTTTGCTCACATTGCTAAGAACAATTGAACCGACTTGCCTAAGCACATTCTTCCATGCCTACTACCTATGAAAGTTTTAACTGTCTATATGTAAATACATCCACACAGTAATCAATTCACTTGTCAGCAGTTATTCATAGTGTTACTACATGCCATAAGTGGCACCTCAATGTGAATATAGATATTATTATTATGATTATTATTATTAAGTTAGAGGAGATGCTAATTGAGATAAACCATGAGGGAAGGAGAATGGCTTAGGGCTCAGTATAAGGGAGATGTTTTTAGTGGGGAGCAGGCTAGAAGGGTCAGAAAACCCCTACTCTTCGTTTAGATTTGAATCTCCTTACCAGATATGTGTGCTTAGGCAAGTGACTGAACCTCCTAACATGTAAAGTGGGGATAAAATGTCTGTTTTACAGAACTATTGAAAGGAGTTAAGTGAGATAATTGAAGTATGTAATACCTGTATTCAGTAAATAATGATGGTGATTCTTAGCATTATCTCCAATAAGGAGATTTGAAAAGTTCACTCTATCTTAAGTAACATTTCCTTTTTAAATTTCTATTATTATTTTGTACCAGGGATTGAACCCAGGAGTGTTTAACCACTGAGCCACATCCCTAGCCCTTTTTATTTTTTATTTTGAGATAGGGCCTGGCTAAGTTAGCGAGGCCTCACTAAGTTGCTGAGGCTGGCTTTGAACTTGCAATCCTCCTGCCTCAGCCTCCCAGGTTGCTGGGATTATAGACGTGCACCACCATGCCCAGTATAATTCCTGTTTCCCCACTCTTCTTTTCACTCAGCATTTATCACCATATAAAGTTATATTTATTGTTTTCTACATCTGCTGTAGATCCCATGAAGGCCAACACTTCTCTTTTGTTTACTACTCAGTCTGCAGAGCTGATAATTGTGCTAGCACTTGTCATACTAGACTCAGTAAATATTTGTTGGTTAGGTGGATGATCCAAAAAAGTGTAGACTGTCTTGTCTTTGTAATAACAACTTATATATTATTGGAAGTGTTCTCAGTGTTTGTAACTTCTGTCTGAGGCATTTGGATTTATTAACAGCCAGTTAATAGTAATATTCTAGAAATTATGCAAGCATGAGATAAAGTGATAGGGCTTGGTGACTATTAAGATTTCTTTCTAAACTCAGGGTCTGTGATTCTGAATTATCAACTGGGGGCCTGGGAATATAGCTCAGTTGGTAGAGGGCTTGTCTTGCATGCACAAGGCCCTGGGTTCAAACCCCAGCACCACAAAAACAAAACACATCTATGAATTATTAGCTGGTCTGGCATACACTTGTTTAATTTAAAATGAAAGAAAATATTTTAGAAAGAAATATAAAATCTTTTCAATCTAATTTTTAAAAGAAAATCTATTGAATATAAAATAGGAAAGAATATGTAGGACTGGGCTGTGCTCTGGAAGATGGCTAAGGGGCAAACTTGAAGATTATTTTCTTACCATTCATGTTTTCAAACAAACACAAACCTATTTGTTTTATTCAGAATGAACATTGGAGCATAGTGGTAGAATATTATGAATTATAAATTTTTTCTATTATATAAAAGTGAATATAACTGAAATTTCCCAAAATAATTTTAATTTTTCCCTGGAAAGCAAATTTAGGAATTACCAGTCCAAATGCTTATAAAAGTCATTTGAGATCTGATTTGTATATGAAGTGAGTGAGAGGCCATTATCTTCCCAGCCTTTGTGATTTCTCAGTTTAGACATTTGGGTCCATAGTGAATGATAAAGGATACCACAGAGGTTAGAGGCCAAAGGTGGCTTAATTCCATGTTTGGGTATAATCTAAATATGAGGTATCTAACTCATCACCTGCTAAGGAAAGGTGATCAGTAGATGATTTACTAGACCGATTACAATACATTTGCTAACTTTTTGTTTATTCTAAAAGACAGCAACTTAAGAACTACCAGACTTTCTATTTCTCAGTTTTGGCTTGTAAGATAGTCTAAGGAATATGAGTTTCAAATCTATTTCTTTGCCCTTTTTAAGTTGTTTTTTTTTTTAATATTTATTTTTTTTAGTTTTCGGCAGACACAACATCTTTGTTTGTATGTGGTGCTGAGGATCGAACCCGGGCCGCACGCATGCCAGGCGAGCTCACTACCACTTGAGCCACATCCCCAGCCCCTTAAGTTGTTTTTTAATAAAAGGCCTTGTCCATTTTTTTTCTTGTCCATCTTTTATAACTGACCTTTATTATAACTCTCACTCCATTTTCCTTCTAAATATGTACTTTTTTGTAAGGTCTTTATTAATACAATAGAAGCCTCCTAACTGCTATTTTAGAAATGGTATTAATGGTTTTTCAGTTTCAAAAGGTAGTTTAAGCTGAGCCTGATGATACATACCAGTAGTCCCAGCTACTAAGGATAATAAAGAAAGAAGAACTGATCACCTGAGCCCAGGAGTTTGAAACCAGCCTGGGTAACATAGTGAGATCCTATCTCAATAAATAAAATAAGTAGTTGGGCATGGTGGCACACTGAAATTTCAAGAACTACAGAGGCTGAGACAGGAGGATCAAAAGTTCAGAGTCAGCCTCAGGAACTTAGTGAGACCCTAAGCAACTTAGCAAGACCCTGTTGCAAAGTATAATATAAAAAGGGCTGGGGATGTGGCTCGGTGGTTAAGTGCCCCTGGATTCAATCCATACCATAAATAAATAGCTCTGTAAAAATAATAATTATAATAAGATTTTAAAGCAGACAATCATAAAGAATACTTTAGGGGCTGGGGATGTGGCTCAGCGGTAGCGCACTCGCCTCGCATGCGTGCGGCCCGGGTTCGATCCTCAGCACCACATACAAACAAAGATGTTGTGTCTGCTGATAACTAAAAAATAAATATTAAAAAACAAACAAACAAACAAACAAAAAGAATACTTTAGATATTCTTTAAGTATTACATTTTAACACAAAGCATAAGTGTCTGTTCATTGGATGTAGAATAGTATGTATGAGTGCACCAGTTTGGGTTCCAGATAACTTTCATAAACTATACCCAAATGCATATCTTTAGTTTCTGGTTTAATTTCCTTAAGTTGGAATGAGAACATAGGTATATTGGAAAGGTAACTTGAATAGATAATTTGTACTTTTTGGATTAACTTGCCTTACCTATCAGCAGTAGTTTTTTAGGAGCTCACCTTTAATATGTCTTTACAAAAGCCTAATAACTCTTTCATTCTTTTTGCATTTATATCTGATCAATTGATATAACATCTAATTAAACAATGTGAACATAGTAACTAGAATAGAATAGCTGTCATGAATAGTGTAGAAATCAGTACAGTTGACTTTCAGTAAGCATCCAGTGACATGGTCGGGAGTTGAGTGCACTGAGTGTAGTGTGTGGTCTCCAGTGCTCATTGCACTGTGGGTCTTCCCTAAATGTTCTGTACAGTGTAGTTTCAGTATCATGGTGGATCACTTAAGTGGGGGCCGGTTTAGAGAGTGTCTTGTTTTCCTAATAATTAACTTTGTCCCTATTTAATTAAGCTATGTTGTACAGGACAGAGGTTTTTAAAACCAAAACAAATTCTCAAGGTTTTGACATTATCATTTAAAAGGGAACATACTGAATCTGGTAAAGAGTATCCACCTCTATTTAGATTGTATATAATCTCTCTTCTGTTAATTTCTGTTATAGTTGAAAGATATATGGGATCATAATGATTACCTTTAGATCTTCAGTTATATGAGAGCTTAATGATCAATCATTCTAGACCTAGAGTGGATAAAGAAAAACCCTACAGTAAAACAATGGATCGTGTCAAGATCGTGTCTATTGTAGTAAAAATAACCTCACTGAATATTTTCTTCATATTTTTCTAGGCAATTGATAGCATTCATCAAGTGGGAGTTTATTGTCTTGCTCTGGTGCCTGCCAATACATTGCCAAAAACTCCACTAGGAGGGATTCATATATCTCAGACGAAACAGCTTTTTCTGGAAGGATCTTTACATCCTTGCAATATCCTCATGTGCCCACACACCTGTGTGACGAATTTGCCAAAACCTCGGCAAAAGCAACCAGGTAATATGCTAGCTTACAATCAATAAGTCTCTCAGAATGATTCTTTGTTTAGAGTTAGACGTTACAAAGACCAGTAACTCATGAATTGCATCAGCTGACCAAAAGCAAGGAAGTTTGAGACCCTACAGAATAGGCTTCTTTGGGTTTACTCCTGTCCCCTCTTCAGAGTTCTCCTGGGTATAAAGTATGAGTCAAGATGATCAGAATCCCTCTGGTAGAACTAGAATAAAGGCAATTCTATAAGGGAAGATTCTGATAACAAGAACAGCTGGTATTTAGTGAGTGCTTCCTAAATGTCAAATACTAAGCATTTTACATATATGATCCTAAAACTTTACCATCAGCTGTGAATAATAAAATTCACATAGCTAGTTAGTGGCAGAACTGAAATTCACACTTCATGCGACTAAAATTTCTTTGAAACATGATGGCATACTGCCTTTCTGTTGAGAGTCTCTTACCTAGATTCATGCCTCATTTCTTTTCAGCTGTTAGGGTCTGAGTTGGGTCTGTAATACATCTGAGGAGTAGAATCTTTTTTTTTTTAAAGTTGTGGATGGGCAGACTGCCTTTATTTTATTTGTTAATTTTTATAGGGTGCTGAGGATCAAACCCATTGCCTCACGCATGCTCCCAGTATTTAAAAAAAAAAAAAAGATAAATCCAACATGAAATCATTACGTTTCATTGGTACTTTTTTCGTTTTAAGGCTCCTAGTTTCATGTGAATGCCTGAAACACATGAAAGCCAAAGTCTGGCCTCTGCCGATAATTCACATGTGTATGTATACACACAACATTATGTATCAGCCTCCAAATGAGAAAAGATGACTGTGGGAGAATTAGAAAGAGAAGGGAAGGTGTGACATTTAATTATATTTCTGTGAGACAGCTTTTGCTGAAAGAGAAACATGATGTACCATAATGTATAAAGTAAGCCTGTGACTCTAGAATATTGCCATCATCAGGATATTAGATGGTGGAATGAGACAGACATCATTACCCTAGGTGACATGTATGATTGCATAAATGGTGTGACTCTACATCATGTACAACTAGAGAAATAAAAAGTTATGCTCCATTTGTGTACAATGAAATGAAATGCATTCTGCTGTCATGTATAACTAATTAGAAAAAAAATGTTAATATAAAAAAAGATGTTAATATACCCTGCTCTGCAGTAATTATTGGTCTGCTCGCTGAAGATCTTAGGTTTATCCAGATGTTATTGTCACCTACCCTTGTGCTATTGACAATATGTATAGAGTTAAAGAATATATGATTTTTATCAGTTTTTGCTAGTATTCTGAAGGGGCATTCAAAAGCAAGAAGTTTGTGTGTTAGTAATCAAGAAATGTATAGGGGCTGGCTTGTGGCTCAAGGGGTAGAGCACTTACCTAGCATGCGTGAGGCACTGGGTTTGATCCTCAGCACCACATAAAAATAAAATAAGGGTATTGTGTCTATCTACAGCTAAAAATTAAAAAAGAAAGAAAGAAAGAAATGTATAAAGAAATATTTGCAAACACATTAACTGCCTAGGCATATGGCAGATACATAAAAGCACACATGGGACTGGGAGCCGAGCTCAGTGATAGAGCATGTGCTTAGTAGATGTGAGGCCCAGGGTTTAATCCCCAGCACTGAAAACACACATAAATCATTTCTCCATCTCCAAAGTCTGTTAAACTGCAGTCCCATATTTACTTGTCATATGAGTAAAATCTTCTTTTTTAAAATTCTGGTGATTGAACCCAGAGGTCTTTATCACTGAACTATATCCTCACATCTTTCTTTTTTTTTAATTTTTAAGACAGGGTCTCTCTAGGTTGCTGAGGTTGACCTTGAACTTATGTTCCTTCTGTCTCAGCCTTCTGAGTTGCTAGAATTATAGGTCTGTGTCAGGTGTAAAATCTTATTTTAAATAGCATTTAATGTAGGATTCTTTTAACAAAACATTTGTGTTGGAGATACTTAAAAGATGTTGCTTAAAAATATAGTAGAAGCTTAAGCAGTGCTTTTGCAAGTCAAATTTCATCTTATTTTATCAAATAATAAAAACCTATATAAAATATTTATTCCTAAGCTTCCAAAGGCATAGCAACATTTCATCCTGTCTGGTGAAAGCACTATGTTTGATTTAATAGTTTTGCTTTCTATTGTGATTGTCTGCTAAGATCTTAGTTGGATACATATGTATAGAACCAAAGCAGTTTGAAAATCATGATATCAACTAGTGGAGATGATGAGAGAATAGCATGAGATTTAGGATTTGAAAAAAAAAATAGAGAAAAATGGACATGATTAAGAAGTGAGATAAGAAAGGAAAGGAGAGGAAAAGGAAGATAGAAAAGTTGTTAAAGGCCAGAAGCAACAATCCCATTGAGATACCTATTGGTGCTTAGTTTAAAGAAGAAGAATGTGTCAAATGAGTAAAAATTTTTGGTGGGGGGGAATTTTTTCTGGTTCTGTCGCTACACTTTGCAGATAAACAGCTTAAACAAGAATCAAGGGGCTGGGGTTGTGGCTCAGTGGTAGAACACTCGCCCAGCATATATGAGGCACTGGGTTTGATCCTTAGCACCAAATATATATATGTAGGAAATGAAATACATTTTGCTCTCATATAACTAATTAGAAAAAAAATGTTAATATAAAAAAGATGTTAATATACTCTGCAGTAATTAATAGTCTTCTATGTGTGTGTGTGTGTGTATTGTATCCATCTACAACTTAAAATAAAAAAAAAGGAATCAAGTTTATTTCTTTCTTAGGTAAAAGAAATTCAGAGATAGACAGGCCAAGGCTAGAATAATCACTTTGCAATCACGTTCTTCCAGCATTTCATCTTTTTGCTCTGGTGTTATGTTAGCAAACTGTTTTTATAGATGTGTTATATAACAAATCTAAAACTTGGTTCTCTGAAATAATAAGTATTTGTTTTTCAATGATTGAATACAAATCATCGGGACATGACTTGGCCCCAGGCTGCAAGTTAGGTTCAGAAATAGCCATGTGTTTCCTCATGATGGGACTAGCCTCTACTTAGGTTGTATTTTTCTCAAGGCAGGTGGCAGAAGAAGAACCAGCCGAAGCACATAAGATATTTAAAGCTTCTGTTTCTTTCAGGGTCTCCTAACATTTCATCATCCAGAACAAGTTAGACCATACCTAAAATCAGTGTAGCAGAAAAGTAGAATCCTTCCATGTGACCACAGCTAGGACAGGAAGGAAAAGAAGGAGTATGAGAAAAAGAAGGAGTATGAGACTGTCTCAGAGTCTGTTAGGATCCCTGACCTCTAGCCATCATTTCTGATTTCTACATCATTTTGTATTCTGGCTAGCAAGTAGCAGAAAAGGGTAAAGAAATAAATAGTGGGCAGGGATTGTAGCTCAGTGTCAGAGGACTTGCCTTGCATGCATGACATGAGGCTCTGGGTTTAATATCCAGCACCACCCAAAAAAAAAAGGAAAAAGTAGAGAATATTTTCCCTTTAAACATGTTTTCTAGAAATTGCACCTGCTACTTTCTCTTACATGTTAAGCCTTTCACACTATAAAGAATGTAGTCTTTAGGCATGTGGCACATGTCCAGCTAGAAACTGGGGATTGTGTTATTAATAAAGAAGTGAAAAGCAGGCGTTGCGGTTGACAGATAACAGTTTTTACCATAAGCTTACCAAGTTTTGGAGAGAAACAAGAAGGTATGTTTACAGGAGCAAAAGTATCTATAGTTAGCTTCTTGAAGTTATTGCTTTCAGTATTTTTCACTCTGGAGCCCATAGAATCAAGAAATATGCTCAGAAGAATTTCAAAATATTGCTGCTAAATTGTTTTTGTGGCTTAAAATTGACTTTTAAAAATGCAATGCCTTTATTAATTTTACAATGTGAATTCAGGATTGTACAATTCACACAAATGTACTCTGAATTCCTACATACGTAAAGATTCTCTCCAAAGTGATCTAGCTCTAATTTATTATATAGTTTCATAGACAGGAATATTGCATATAGTACTTAAAATTGTATTAGACAATTTATAAACTAAAACAGTTTAGCACTGTTGGAATACTTTACCTTTTTTCAACTTTTTTATTTGATTTTTAATCTTTCTAAACTTTCATTTTGAAATAATTTCACACTTTAAAAAAAAAGTTGCTTAATGGTACAAAAAATTCCCTTATATCCTTTATCCAGCTTCCCCAACTGTTTACCCTTTTAAAAGTGATTATATGACCTAAGTCATTTTGTGTCATCTGTTTTAATAACTTTAGGATCATCAGATTTGGACAGTACTTAGCTGGTATTAAGTTTGATTTGTTACCTTTCTGCCATCTTCTTAGCTTATTAAGGTAGAGTCTTGGTCTTCAAGTAACCCTAGCACTTCTTTCTTATTCTTATTCTTATTCTTATTCTTATTTTCTTCTTCTGATGTTGGGGATTGAACCCAGTGGCACTTTACCACTGAACTACATTCCCAGTCCTTTTTATTTTGAGATAGGGTTTTGCTACATTGCTGAGTCTGGCTTTGAATTTGTGATCTTCCTGCCTCAGACCCCTGAGTAGCTTGGATTATAGGTGTAAGCACCACACCCAGCTCTAACATTTTTTTCTTAAGAGTTGGAGGGATGTATGGATTGATTGCTTGATTGATTGATTGTATTGGGGATTGAATCCAGAAGCACTTTACCTCTGAGCTATATCCACAGCCCTTATTTTTATTTTTTTAATTAATTTATTTATTTTTTAGTTGTTGATAGATATAAACTTACTCCCATTCCTCAGCAAAAATTTTTAAGACTAGATATTTATTACTATTAATACATTTTGATTAGAGCAAAAGAAATTATTTATCAGTGGAAACCAGTGCAAAGGCAGTTCCTCAGGCTGAAAACTTCCCTGTATACCCTAGCTTCAGTAGCCTCCTTACTTCTATTGCTCCCCTAACCATGACTCTCCTGTGGTCCTGTTTTATCTTTTTCTAGCAGTTCCTGCTACCTGACTTTGTTTATATGTATATATACTTCTTGGTTGCCTTTCCTCTTAGAATATAAGCTCTATCCTGTTTGATTACTGCCTTCCCAGTGCCTAGAAGAGTGCTCTAGTCATTCTATTATTGAATGAATGGTTGAACCAGTTTGGGTCAGTCAGGAAATGCTTTGAGGATAGTTAGATTGAATTGCTGTTTTCAGAGCGTTGATTTTTGCCTCTATTTACAGGTGTAGGCCCTGCTTCCGTGATGGTTGGGAATCTGGTTGCTGGAAAACGCATAGCACAAGCTGCAGGAAGGGATCTGGGGCAAATTGAAGAGAATGATTTAGTGAGGAAGGTAAGTGTTCCAGAAGTGCTGAAATTTTACCAACGAGTCAAGGACAGAACTTACATTTTAGATACCAAATAGGGGATACTTGCTTGAAAGTTGCTGACCATCAGTCTTTTTTCTGCTTTATGATTTCAGCACCAGTTTCTGGCAGAGATTTTGCAGTGGCGAGCCCAGGCAACTCCTGATCATATACTCTTCATGTTGCTAAATGCCAAGGTATTAAAAATTGAATTGCATATCTAATTAACTGAATCCTACGGGAGTACCTTAGGCACTCTCAATCTCTTTTCTTTCATCAGAAAATTTCTAAGGAAGGAGTTATTGCTTTTTCCTTGTTTTGACACATGAGGATAAATTATACAATCACTCTTAAGATTGAAATGAGACCTCCCAGAGTGCTATTTAATACTTTATTTTCTTGTGTTATAATCAAGTCTTTTTAAGAATGATGGGGCCAACAGTGCAATTGTATAAATACACAGATGTATGGAACATATTATGTCATATTTTTTAATCCAATTTGACTTTTAATTATTTGATTTCTTCCAAAAAGAAAATTATTTTACCCCCATATTTTAAAAACAAAACCTATTTTTAGTACTTACTTAAAGGATTAATTACTGACAGATAAAAAACGAATTCAAAATTATATAGGAGTACATTGGCTAGGTTTGGTGGCCTGTACCTATAGTCTTAGCTGTTTAGAACACCAAGGCAGGAGAATCATGAGTTCCAGGCCAGCCTGGGGAATATAGGAAGACCCTGTTGCAAAGAAGGGGAAACAAAAAAAGAAGAGAGAGTATATTTCACTACTGGTTCTAATAGATGGTTTATCATAATGTTGTGGGTTTGTTTTTTAAAAAAACATCTTTTTTTTCTTCTCTTTTATATGTAGATGAGCACAATACCTTTATTTATTTATTTTTATTTGGTGCTGGGAATCAAACATAATGCCTCACACATGCCAGGCAAGCGCTCTACCACTGAGCTACAACCCCAACCCTCATGGGTTTGTATCTACCGTACTAGGGATTAAACCCAGAGGTGCTCTACAACTGAACTACATCTCCAGCCCTTTTTATTTTGTATTTTGAAAAAGGGCCTTGGTAAGTTGCTGAGGTTGACCTTGAACTTGTGATCCTCTTGCCGCAGCCTCCCAAGTCACTTGGATTATAGACATGCAACACTTTGTTCAACTCCATAATATAGGTGTGGGTTTTATTATGGTTTTTTTTTTGGGGGGGGGGGGGTACAGGTGATTGAACTCAGGGGCACTCAGCCACTGAGCTACATCCCCCAGCCCTGTTTTGTATTTAGAAACAGAGTTGTTTAGCACCTTGCTTTTGCTGAGTCTTGCTTTGAACTTGCAGTCCTCCTGTCTCAGCCCCACAAGCCACAGGGATTACAAGCATGCGCCTGGCTAATATTGTATTTTTTTTGGTTTTCCATTCTGTGGTAGTCTGATATATTTTCTTTAACTTATTAATGATTGAGTCACAGACTGAAAGTATTGTGACCAAATTATAGCAGTTCTCACCAGCAGAGGCAGATTGGAAAAGCCTATTGGATCTCTTAGGGAACTTATCTGCTCTGTCTTCATATAATCTAATTTTGGGGGGGGTTAATTTGTTTGTTTGTTTTGAGAATGTATGTAGTGATAAATCTTAATGAGAGAAGTATGCTGTGCATTAAAGTGGAAATTATTAAAAAATTTTAAGAACAACTGCTTTTGTGAGACAAAACTCTGGGACTTCCTTGCTCCATATATTCAGGCAGTGGGCTTCTCTTCAAGTCTGTGGTTCATTCACTAAGGTTCTTATACTTTATTAAGAAGCCATCATTTTGGGGCTGGGGGGTGTAGCTCAGTGGTAGAGTGCTTGCCTTGCATGTGTGAGGCCCTGGGTTCCATCCTCAGCACCACCTAAGAATAAATAAATAAAAACAAAGATATTGTGTCCATCTACAACTAATTATTTATATATATATATATATATATATATATATATATTTTTTTTTTTTTTTTTTTTTTTAAAGCCATCATTCTGGTCACTTCCCACCTCACTCCCAGGCTTGGATATAGTTTAAGTTGTGGATGTTATGAAATCCATACCCCAGATATTTGTTTGTGAACATAAATTTAAATTTGCTTCTTGTTTTAATATAAATGATTGACTGCCCAAAGGGCGTATAATTCACTTAATTCTATATATTCTTGTATTTTGCCTTGGATAAGCCTAGGCCACCAGATTATTAACCATACATTGTTCCCTCATGCATAGAATATTGTGTTTACTAAACTAAAATTTGCTCTTGTGCCATGAACCAGAATGATTTTTCCCCCCTGTGGTGCTGAGGATTGAACCATGGGCATCCTACCACTGAACTATATCCCCAGTCCTTCATTTTTTTTTTTTTTTTTTTTGAGACAGTGTCTTACTGAGTTACTGAGGCTGGACTGGATCATCTTGTGATCCTCCTGCCTCAGCCTCCTGAGTAGCTGGGATTATAGGCCACTCTGCCCAGCTCAAAAAGAAATAGCCTTATAAATTTAACCCTGACTTTAGCCAAAGGCATATTAATTTTAGTGTTATAACCTTAATGCTGAAAATAAACAATCAACTAAATAAATTATGGTTATAGCCATTAAAAACAGTGTTACAGAGGAATATTTGATGACCTAGAAAATATTTATCATGTATAAGGGGAAATATGATATAAAATGTAATAATTGAATATGTACTGAAGATCCTATTCTAGATATGAGGAAACCAAGCACAGAGATTATAGAGCTAATAAGTGATAGGAGTAGGAAATTAGCTCTTTTTTTAACATTCAGTTTTTGATTAACAAGTATAAATTGTACATATTAATGGGATACAGTTTGTTATTTCAATACATGCATACAGCATGTACTAACCAAGCAGAAATTAGTTCTTTACATTTATTTGAACCCTAACTTGTGGAGCACACATTCTTAACCAAAATGTTGTGCAGCCTCTAGCAGATGACATGATACCATGTTGCATGTAAATTTACATATAATATATATTCATTTTTAAAAGACCAGGTAATAGTACAACCATCTGGAATACAATTTGGCATTATCCAGTAAAGTTGAAGACTGGCAATCCAGAGATGCAGCAGTTACATTTTTTGGTCTGTATTCCATTGAAACATGTATTTAAGCGTAAGAATACATGTCCAAGAATGATAATGTCCATCAGCCAGAAAGTGGATGAATAACTTGTTGTACCTTCATACAATGAAATATTATATAGCAACATAGAGGAATAACTGTACCTACACAAAACAGCATGATGACTTATAAATAATGTTGAATTAAACCAACTGGGTGTGGTGGCGTGCTTCTGTAATCCTAGTGACTTGGTAGGCTGAGATGGGAGAATCACAATTTGAGGCCAGCCTCAGCAATTTAGCAAGGCTCAAAATTAAAAATAAAGGGCTGGGTCCACTGGGGTCGTAGCTCAGTGGGAGTATATTTGCCCAGCATGTGCAAGGCACTGGGTTCAATTCTCAGCACTGCATATAAATAAAATAAAGGTCCACTGACAACTAAAAAAATAAAGTGCTGGGGATGTAGCTCCTGGTAGAGTACTTAACCTAACAAGTTCAAGGCTCTGGGTTTGATCCTCAGTACTACCAATAAATAAATAATAAAATAAAAAGGGCTCGGTATGTAGTTCATTGGTAAAGCACCCCCAGGTTTTATCTCTAGCACGCACCCACCACCTAAAGAAAGAAAGAAGTGAAGCACAAAGGAATTTATACAGCACAATTCCATTCATTTACAATTGAAAATTATTCATGAATGTTAACAATATAAAGAAATCAGTGACCAACAAAAACATCAAGATAGTGGTTATCATGGGTGCTTCTGAGCAGCTAGGAGGGTTTTCTTCTTATCCTTCTGGTGTCTACACTAATGCTTACTTACTAATTTTTCATTAAGTTATGTGCATATTTTCCATTTTCCCTTATACGTGTCATGTTTCACAAGGAAGGGTTCAAAAAGCTCTCCTCAGTCAAACTTATGAAGACTCACAGGAAAAATTATTGTCAAGATCAGGAAAAGGGGCCTGCAGTTGTGGCTTGGTGGTAGAGCGCTTGCCTAGCACATCTGAAGCCCTGGGTTCGATCCTCAGCACCACATAAAAAATAAATAAATTGGGCTGGGGATGTGGCTCAAGCAGTAGCGCGCTCTCCTGGCATGTGTGCGGCCCGGGTTTGATCCTCAGCACCACATACAAACAAAGATATTGTGTCCGCCAAATACTAAAAAAATAAATATTAAAATTTTCTCTCTCTCTCTCTCCCTCTCTCTCACTCTCTCTTTAAAAATAAAGAAAGAAAGAAAGGTATTGTGTCCAACTACAACTAAAAAATAAATATTAAAACAAAACAAAAAGGAAAGGGTCTCCTCATCTTTATTATTAGCTGGTAGATTCTGCATACTATTTTTGTTTGTTTGCATCTTCACTATTAGCAAACTCAGAGCCAGGTTTGTGTTGTACACACAGCAGATGTGCATGACCACTCAACCATCACTTACTGTCTTTACCTCACACCTGCTCTCATCCTATTTTGATTTTTATTAATTTACTTTTACTCTTATTTCCTCACTTACAAAAATAAAAGATCATATGTATTTTTAAAACTACTTTAAGGAAAAATACTATAAATAAGTGTTTAGGTTAATTTTATTATGCCCTAAATATCTACAACACTTTTTTAAAAAAGAAAAGGAATCTTATACCTGCCTTTTGATACTAAGTAATAGTTTGCAAAAGATAATCTACCAAAGCACAACCCTTTTAGGTATAATGTCAGATTGGTTGTGCTTTTCCCTTGGTGGTTTATTTTCTTGATGAACTTTGATCTGCTTATCCTTTCTAATAATGTTTAAAGGGAACTACTGTATGCACAGCCAGCTGCCTTCAGCTTCATAAGCGAGCAGAGAGGATTGCATCAGTTCTTGGTGACAAAGGACATCTAAATGCAGGAGATAACGTTGTGTTGCTCTACCCACCTGGTAAGTGTTGGATTGGTAGACTACTAAACTCCAAGACTAGACTACATAGTAGGAAAGGTCAGGAACTCTGGGCTACCATCTATGACCGTGGTACTGTGTATTTCCCAACATCAAGCAACCATGTACCATAAACTAAAGTGTGAGTCAGGTGACATATCCCATAGTTGTGCAGTGTGATAGCTCTTCTTGAGATTCTGTCTTTTTGACTTACTCTTCTATTTCCATTATCAGTACCTGGCACATAAAAGTCACCTAGTAATTATTAAACAAATGAATGAGTGAATGAAGATTTCAACTACCTGGCTTTTGAAAACCTTTGAAACAGATGATTTGAGGTTGAGCAGTGGTATATACTCATGGGAGTGTACTGGGGAGGCTGAAGCAGGAGGATTTATTGATCCCAGGCGTTCAAGGCCAACCTGGGCAATGTAATGAGACCCTGTCCCTTCCGAAAACAAAGCAAACAAACAAAAAATGGTTGCCTTGTTTCTAGGATGGAATGGGACCATTTTGCCTGGCTTCCAAATGATTGTTGTCTTTGAATTCTGTTGACTTTACATTCTTTGTATTATTATTGGTGTTTTGTTTCCTCTGTTGTTGCTTTTATCTTTGATGTTCTAATTTAATTTAGTCATAACCTTCCCTTCATAGAAAGAGGGTTAGGATTATTTGATAACAGGATTATTTGATAACAGTTTGCTGTCACCAAATATTAGATGAAATATTTGAGTAATCTCTTTATTCCTATTCCGTCAGCCACATAATCCACTCACATATCCAGCCTTCTTTGGTCACTTATCTCCCTTATTTCCCTTCACTCTAATATACTTTACTATGGCATTTTATTTTCATGGATACTGAGATTTCTTAGATCATCTGGAATCTCTCCTGCCATATTCCCATATAGTTGTCTTCCATCTATCAATTAATGATTCAGCAACAGACTAGAGCACATCCTGAGGAGACCTCTCACCCAGAGTCTTCAAATTGAGCCACATTTTTCATCCCTAAAATACACAAATTGAGTAAACAACAATTAAGAAGTCCAATTACTCTTCCTATATCAGCCTTCTAATATTTTTATAAAAATTTAAATGTTCCTCATTTCTTCATTTCCTATTTTATCTTCTTAGTTAAAACTCCTCAATTTCTGTAATAAGTAATGTCAAGTAACAATATGAACATGCTTCAAGTATCTTTCAAGGGTTTACTTCTGATATCTTCCTTGTTATCTGTTCTTGGCTTCTCTTTTAAGTTGTTTTAAATGCTGCTTTGCCTTCAGTTTGTTCTTAAGGCACTGACAGAAGAAATTTATATTATTAAGTTCTGATCTGAATGACCCAGCTGGCACATGATTTTGGAAAATCCACATTTAGTTTCTTAGTGATAGTATTTGATTAAATGGCTCTCCTGACAGGACCCTCTGTCTTGCAGGCATCGAGTTAATTGCTGCATTCTATGGGTGCCTGTATGCAGGGTGTATACCTGTGACTGTCCGACCCCCTCATGCTCAGAACCTTACTGCAACATTGCCCACTGTTCGCATGATTGTTGATGTAAGTACCAACTGTATCTTGCATTGTCTTCATGTCATAAGATCAAGACTTAAACAACGAAGGATCCTTACTAATTTTCCAGTTTTGTTGGTCCAGGAAGTGAAAATTTTCTCCTAAAAACAATCTCCTTTTTTCAGTCTCCAAAGTAATCATCATTATTCAGTGAAGGAACTGTGTAGGAAAATTGTTTTTGGTGAAATATGGAATTGTGGCCAATAATCATGAACATTAAGGAGGTGAAGTTCTCATTAGCAATTCTCTGTAAAATTTGTGCCCCCCCTGCTTAAAACATGTTGTCTGTTTGACATTTCTGCACAGTAATCAAGTGTTACTTGCCAAACTCAAAAATCCTCCCAAGTGGACCTACGTAGGAGCCCAGGCCCAGGCTAGTCCAGTCCACTACACTGACTGGCAGACCCATGCCAGAACTCAGGGCCCGGCCCAGGGCCAGCTCCGCTGACCTGCCCGGGAGCCCATGGGAGCCCAGGCCTAACCCACTTCTATCTTGGGACACTGCAGCCATTGTCATAGCCCTCCCCACACAGTAGCCTTCTCCTTATGACAACAGGGTCTAGAAGCAGCTGCATCTCGGAACAGGCAGCCCAGGCCATTGTAAGGCCTACCCTTTCAGCTCCATTTCTGAAAGAGGTTGCATCCATCTTGGGATACCCACCCTGCTATTGCCACCACCACCTATAGTTGCAGTAGCATCCATCGTGGGTCATCTGCAGGGACTGGAAGCCCTACAAGAAGGTGAGGTACAGATAATCTGCATGGATACTATAAGATTATAGAGTAGAAACTGTTAATACCTCAGATCCACACTGCAAGGAAGGAAGACGCATAGACAACATGGAAAAACGTGCCCCAAACAAACCAGGATATTACAATAATAGAATCCATGGACAGTGCAGTTGATGAAATGACAGAAAAGGAGGTCAGAATGATCTGTGAATTAAAGAATGGCTGGGGTTATAGCTTAGTGGCAGAGTACTTGCCTTGCACATGTGAGGCAGTGGGTTCTATCCTCAGCACCACATTAAAATAAATAAAATAAATAAAGATATTGTGTCCATATTTAAAAAAAATTCTTAAAAGAATGACCTAAATGAACAAATACAGGCAAAATTTGATCAACCAACACAGAGATAAGGGAGCAAATACAGGTAGCAAAAGATTACTTCAAGAGTGAGTCAAAGGGGCTAGGGCTGGGGCTCAGTGGTAGAGCGCTTGCCTTGCACAGGTGAGGCACTGGGTTCGATCCTTAGGACCACATAAAAATAAATAAAGATATCGTGACCATCTACAACTAAAAAACAATTTAAAAAAAAAGAAAAGAAAGAAAGATTCTGAAAAAAATCATAAATACTTGAAATGAAAGAAACAATAAAACCAAATAAAATACTCAATAGAAAGCATCACCAACAGACTAGATCACTTGGAAGTCAAAACATCAGATAATGAAGAAAAAGTATACAATCTGGAAAAAAGTTGACCACACAGTGAAGATGGTAAGAAACCATGAAAAGAACATCCAAGAATTATGGGATAGCATCAAAAGACCAAATCTAAGAGTTATTGAGATACAGAAAGGCACAGAGATTCAAACCAAAGGAATGCACAATCTCTTCAATGAGATAATTTCAGAAAATTTCCCAAACATGAAGAATACAAATACAAGAGGCTTACAGGACACCAAATATACAAAATGACAACAGTTCTACACCAAGGCACATTATAATGAAAATGCCTAGCATACAGGAAAAGGATAGAAGTGTAAAGGCCGCAAGAGAGAGGAATCAGATCACGTATAGGGGGAGGCCAATTTGTATCTCAGCAGATTTTTCAACCCAAATCCTCAACATATACCAAGCTCTGAAAGAAAATGGATGCCAACCAAGAATCTTATATCCAGCAAAATTAAGCTTCAGATTTGATGATGAAATAAAAACCTTCCATGGGGCTGGGATTATGGCTCAGTGGTAGAGCACTTGCCTCATGTGTGAGGCACTGGGTTCGATCTTTAGCACCACATATAAATTAATGAATAAAATAAAGACACATAAAAAATTTTAAAAAAAAACCTTTCTTGATAAACGAAAAAAAATTTATAGTGAGAAATTTGGACTTAACACACATATAGACTATGTCATCCATCAACTAGCAAATATACTTTCTTCTCAGCAACACATGGATCCTTCTCCAAAATAGACCATATGTTATACCACAAAGCAAGTCATAGCAAATACAAAAAAAAAAAAAAAAGAGAGAGAGAGAGAGAGATAGTACCCTGCATTCTACCAGACCATAATTGAATGAAATTAGAAATCAATAATAAAAAAGAGAAGCTACTCCCAACACCTGGAGACTATACAATACACTATTGAATGACACATGGATAACAGAAGACATCAGGGAGGAGATTAAAAAAAGATTCTTAGAGGCAAATGAGAACTCCAGTACAAGTTATCAAAATCTCTGGGACACTATGAAAGCAGTGCTAAGAGGAAAATTCATTGCATGGAGTTCATTCGTTAAAAGAAGAAAAAGTCAACAAACAACCTGACATTACAGCTAAAAACCCTAGAAAAAGAACAAACCAACTCCAAAAGTAGTAGAAGACATGAAATAATTAAAATCAGAGCAAAAATCAATGAAATTTAAAATAAAGAAATAGTTCAAAAAATTGACAAAACAAAAAGCTGGTTCTTTGAAAACATAAATACAATTGACAAACCCTTAGCCATTCTAATAAATTACAAATTATCACAAAAGACACTATTGAAATACAGAAAACAATTAGAAATTATTTTGAAAATTTATACTCTAGTAAAATAATAAACCTCAAAGATGCTGACAAATTTCTAGAGGCATATGATCAATCCAAACTGAGTCAAGAGGACATACACAATTTAAACAGATCAATTTCAAGCAAGGAAATAGAAGACACCATAAAAAAACCTACCAACCAAGAAAAGCCCAGGACCAGACAGATTCACAGCTGAGTTCTATAAAACCTACAAGGAAGAATTAATACCAATACTCCTCAAATTACTCCATGAACTAGAAAAGGAAGGAACCCTTACAAACTCATTCTACAAAGCTAGTATCATCCTGATAATAAAAATCAGGCAGAGACACATCAAGGAAAGAAAATTTCATACCAGTATCACTGATGAACATTGATGCAAATATTCTCAATAAAATTCTGGCAAATCACATACAAAAACGTCTTAAAAAAATAGTTCACCATGATCAAGTAGGGTTCATTCCAGGGATGCAAGGTTGGTTCAACATATGGAAATCAGTAAATATAATTCAACACATCAATAGACTTAAAGATAAAAATCATATGATTATATCGATTGATGCAGAGAAAGCATTTGACAAAATACAGCACCCTTTCATGTTCAAAACACTAGAAAAACTAGGGATAGTAGGAACATAACCTCAACATTGTAAAAGCTATATCCTAAACCAAGGCCAGCATCATTCTAAATGGAGAAAAGTTGAAAGCATTCCCTCTAAAAATGGGAACAAGACAAGAATGCCCTCTTTCACCACTTTTATTCAACACAGTGCCTGAAACTCTAGCCATTAGACAGACAAAAGAAATTAAAGGGACACCGATAGGAGAAGAAGAGCTCAAAACTATCATTATTTGCTGTCGACATGATTCTATATTTAGAGGATCTAAAATACTCCACCAGAAAACTTCTAGGATTAATTAATGAATTCAGCAAAGTAGCAGGATACAAAATCATACCCATAAACCAAATGCATTTCTATACATCAGTAATGAATCCTTTGAAAGAGAAATTAGGAAAACTACCCCATTCACAATAGCCTCAAAAAAATAAAATGCTTGGGAATCAACAAAGGAGGTGAAAGACCTCTACAATGAAAACTAAAGAACACTAAAGAAGGAAATTGAAGAAACTTTAGAAGATGGAAACATCTCCCATGCTCTTGATAGGCAAAATTAATATTGTCAAGGGAGATGATGGCGGGTCAGAGGAAATCAGTATTCTGTGTCGCTCCATGACCTGGGACTCAAGTGGTGAGAATACTGCTTCTCTGTGAGCGATATTCCTGCTTCTGCATGGGAATCACAACCACTGTGCCTGTCCAAGGCTCCAGGTCACAGCATCAGAGTAGATCTCCCAATTACTTGTCCACACAATTGGGTACCTGAGCAGACACCATCAACATCCACACAGAACTTTCAGCTATGCCCCCCCCCCCACAGCAGAAATCACCAAAACCATTCTCACGCTGGCCACCCGGCAGCTTTCCACACACAGGAACTCCAGCTGACACTCCCATGAGGACCCCCATCTACCAACGTGAGGCTCTTCTAGTCGCCGCCGTCTTGGGACTCTTCAGCAGTGGAGATAGTTCCCTGCTGGTAGTAGCCTACCTGCACCCAAGAACCTCACATAGGCTCTGAAGTCTTCCGACAGCCACACACTGTAGCCACAGAGCTTGTCTCTGAACTCATTGTCTCATTGTCACTCGGCTCCCCCACACACAACCTGACAGCCCACTGCTGAAAGATGCCTCCATCTTGGGTCACTTTCATCACCATCTTCAGCAGAGGCAACACCCAGTTTGGAACTCCGGCTGGCCAGGTACCCAGTTTCTAACTTTCCCCCTCTCCCAGCAGCTACTACCCCGTTACAGTGACACCCTGGTTTCCCCCACCATTCTGAGGGCAGAGATACCAGCTAACAACAGCCGACCCCACCTATTGGATGAGAAGGGAAGCAGGAACGATATGGATTTCCAATCAAAAACAATCCTGTTTCATCCTTCAAGATTCCCCCCCCCCCGCCCCCGCCATTCTTCTGCCCTCACATCTCCAACATATGTGAAACCAAGTACTTTGCATGAATTAGGATTTTGAGAACTAGGACATCTGAATAGTATATTATAGCTATGTTGTATATATATTTTTTCCCTTTATCCCACCAATTTCTTCTATTTTAACATTTTTTGAT